CATAAAGTGACTTCCATCAAAGCTGATGGACCTGCTGAATGTGTTGATCAACTGTGCAGAAAGTTTGATGGCTCCTCAAGATGCTCAGGCACTCCATGGTTATTTGGTGCATACAGAGTACACCAAACACCTTCTCATTGTGCTGGATCTCCATGCAGATCACAGGATGCTTCTTGGATGAGATGCACTCATCATACATGCTCATGCATTTGCACAGACAAGAGGTACATCCAGGATTGCCAGGTTTTGGAAATCCTGGACAAACACGCAAACTCTCAACATTATTCATAGAATAATGTTCCATAGGAAAAAGACGCTCACAGAAATCCTGTGGACAATGGCCTTGACAACTGGAGTCCTGGCCAACTGAGATCTGCAGTTACTAGTATGGGCGTAGATAAATAGTCTTCAATATCCTACAGTGGTGAATCACAAACAAATTACAGCTATAAGCCAGTCTGTTCTTGGTGTTTACATCTAGAAGAGGTAGAAAGAGTGCTATTTTTTTATCTTATTTTTACTTGGATTGTCTATTGCTGTTATTTACTTCTATTAGCAAAGGTCTGCAGAATTCCCTGCTTGCACTGGTATCACTGCAGTGCTGCTGGAGTTGCAGAACAGAGGAATATCTGGCAGTAATTGGCTTTCACTAGTTTAAGTGATTTATCATCTAGCTTGCCAAAGAGTCGAATCAACACAAAGTCGAGACACCGTAAAACACAATCTTCTTTTTTTTCTCTGTCAATATTTTTGAATGGAAAAGAAGTTATTATTGTTTTAATGCTCACACTATTCTCCACACTCTTCATTCCAGAGAGTTGCATACTTTCATACTGCACTGCAGCCCATTACACTATTAAGATGCAAACAAGCATGGACCCAAACATCAGTGCATACACACCCAGGAGAATGTCCCTTCTAAAAGGCACAGCAGTCTTACGTAGAGGATCTCTATCAGATGAGTGGCCAGAGCACCAATGATTCAGGAAAAGAATCACGAGTGTAACCTCAGGTGTGCAAGTGAAATCAGTGAAGCTGCTCCTGAAATGAAGTATGTGCACAGCTGCCTTGCCAAATCAGGGCCCGAAAAAGCTTTAGATACCTTGTCTTTAAAACAGTATGATGCTTCATTTTCCCATCCCTGTTTACCTCTCTTCTAGATACCTCTGGACACTAAATATTTATGGATCCTCTGCCTTGCAGAATGCAAAGCCAGGAGCAGAGTTGCTGAATCCACTTGGGAAGCAGTACTAGATAAACACTCATGGGCTTATCCAAAGGCCTGACAAAAGAAGCAACATTAAAAAGCTGGGGATAGGTAAAGAAATAGGTCACAGAAGAATGGAAGAAAGTAGCATGTTGCCAAATTTGCTTGTTGGTTTCTTTGTTTTTTTTTTTTTTTTTTTAAGCAAATGGACAGCCACAAGTGCTGACCGTGACACTACAGCAAGCAGAACTCAGTGAGACTTCTCTGGCACTGTAGCTGTTGGACAGCCTACTTCCACTTTTTAAAACTGCCCTGTTTTTGTAAGCTGATGACAAATTTCATTCTGATTTCAAGACATGCTGGTTCAGGCTAGAGATGGAGAGGTTTTGTCTTTTTACAAAGCTTCAAATTTTGAAGGCCAGGGCACACTGTTACCGTGGCAGCCAGAGAAAATGGCTGGGCACAGCACATTGCCCAGTAATTTCAGGATGCCAGGGTTGTCATCTTCCAAACAGAGATAACTGAACCTAATAAAACTAGACAAGTGTATTTTCCCAGCACCCTTTGCAGAATCAAGGAACTGTAATTAAGGCTGCATTAGCATTTCCATTATAAAGTCCTACTTTTGAAGTTTCAATCATTTGTATTTAAGACATCCTTACCAAACAGCAATTTGGCACAATTTGGAACACAGGGATGAAAACTTTGAGAAAAAACAGATATCTTACACTAAAAGCAGTAATAAGATTTCAACTAAATAGGATGAGGCCCAGCATTAGCTGCTTAGGTGTGATAGCTTTAAATCTCTGCTAGGGCTGAAATATTAATTTTACCTAACATGATTTTTACTAGTTTTCTGAGCACTTGAATGATACCCCTGTTTTTGCAGAGCAAGCACAAGGTTCATGGCCTGCCTAAGGGGGCTTTCATACCTAAATCCCAGCTGCCATGGCTCCTTTCTCTAAGAAGAATGCGCTGCTTTGGCTGGAACCTGAGGTGTGCCTGCAAGTCCACCAGTACTGGTACCAGCACCTCCTGCCCCCAAGGCTTATAAAATGCCATACATGCACATGATCTTAATGATAGTGCAAAGGAGACAGAAGACAAGTTTTTCAAACACTTGAGAAAGTGTAATTTTTTGAAAATAAATGTAATATGCTGATTTCATTAAAGAAGGACTTGTATTCAGACACTGCGAAGCTCTAGCCTGGATGACTGCCTGAGTGTATGTCGACACTGCACCACCACAAGAGCTGCAGGGTGATGCAAACCCACTGTAGCCATAGGAGAACAGAAGGGCCTCTCTGCCCAACAGCTTAGTTCCCAAGTAGGCTTGCAGGTTATGCTAAGTTTCATGTTGCCAACAGCTACAGGTAGTCACTACACAAAATTCATGCCCAGGAACGGTGATTGCTTTCCAGAAGAAAAAGCCACAAAGACTGATGTTGCTGTGCACACAGGAGATGTAAAAAGGCTTATGTGAGTCTTCTACCTTCCTCATGTGGTAGTATTACCAGCATTAAGTACTAGAGGAAATCTGCCATCAGCTGTGTGCAAACATGTTCTAAGCTGCTGACATTTTTGTGTCCAGTCATTTACAAAACCCTAAAATTGCTAATCCGTTTCTTCAGCTCCAAAATACCGCAATTCATATCCTGTTTTCAAAAGCATTTCTTCTCTGCATCCAGTTTAAAATATGACCCAAGGTATTAAGCAATAATTGCTAGTTGCATTGTTCAGACATCCTATAGCTAACAAAAAGAACGGCAACATTTTCAGAAGTGTGCTTTCCTGTTTTCTCTATCACCCCCTTGAAAAGATTGATGAAAACCAAAATTTCTCAGAATACTGACTTAAGCAAGCAAACCGTTATTCTATTAATTCCTCTTACTTATTACTGTTTCAGACAACTCAGAGATTCCTGGAAAGAACAGACACTGAAATAATTCTCATTTATATCAGTATGTGCCATAATTACCTGGAAGGGTCTGCTTTACTGAGGATGTCTGAAACCTTGTTCATCTGGTTTCAATCAAATCATCAAAAGAATTTCTTACTCATTACAATATTCAGTTTTAAGTAAGTAAATTGACAGAAGTCACATTGTCTGTATGTCATATAGAAGATCAGCTTTGATACTTGGTCTGATCTCAGAACATCACTAAGCAGAGGAGGGCCAAGCACTGTTTTCTCTACTAAGCACAGCCACCAAGCTCTTTAAATAGCATAAAAAGAGCTCCAATGGGGATTTTGATTACAACGTGTAAAAGAATGATGTAGTTGGGGCAGAGGACACCATTCTTAATAGGACTTTTACTACACTTTAAAGCCAGTCCGTGCTTGTTGCTTTTGAGTACAGAGTGGCAGATCTGAAGATGCATTACTGCTTGCTTAAAGTGTATCTGAGGTTTTGTATGAGTGCTTAAATTCAAACCTAGCCAGACCAAATATACATCTGATTCCTCACCAAAGTGGATATATGCTATATGGCCATAACAACTGAAGACAAGCAGACATGCCATACACCCAAATGTTCATAGGGCAGGCAGTCAGCAGAATTCTCTGCAGACTAAAGGTGAAACAAAATTACTAAGAAGTTTTTAATTACTGTAAACTAAACCTGTTAGCAAGCAGAGAGGCTGCAGGAACAGATACTCAACATCTTACACTATTTTGTGAGGTGCTAAGACAGTAACAAACCTTACTTTTTATTCCTCATACCAGGCTGTTTTGTTGTGGCTGCTGAGTTTCACCTCTGGTCCCATTATGAAATAACCTGCTGGGTTTTGGCCATCTTTGTAACACTTTTCCTGTACCACTCGTTGGTCCCAGGTTCCAACCCCTTCCATGTCTCTCTGAAGAGGACAAGTGCTGCTTGTCTTGAACTTCTGGACTTCCCAACCCTGTGAACTGGGCAGGCCTCTGTGAGAAAAGTTTTCACAGGAACTAGACTAACGATTGATGGAGGTCACATACAACAACATTTCAAGTGTTTTTTATTTACCTGAAAGCCACGAAAAGAAAGAGATTCATAACTGCATCTGATTTAAACACTACTCTTGGTATGTCTCAGAAAATTACATTCGGTACCTCTTCAAAATCATCTTCCCTCAGTGGAGGTCCAGGCATTTATTTCCTCTTGAATTTGGTGTGTTGAGTCTGGTTAATACCCTAATTCCATGTTCTGGCCTTGAAGAAAAATTTCCAGTTGGCTAGAGTCACATGGGTCAGCATTCTCCAGACTTACAACATCTGTAATTTTTTGCTCTTTTTAATAAAATTAGGACATTTCAGAGATAGCTTGTTTCTGTCTCATCTTTGAAACTGTTCTCTTTCATACAGTTTCATCTGCCTAGCACTACACTTAGATCAACTCCATGGTGTAAAACATAATACCAAGCAGATAAGCTATAACAGTAGCACAGATTTCATTCTCCTCAGTCTTATATGGAAACTGTGCACTCTCTCATCTCAAATACCTTAATCATGATAACACAAGAATTTCTATGTTATCATGGTATTAAGTCTTTCTAAGGTAATAAGAAATGCAGTGTTAATCCTTTTTTGAGCTTTTTAAAAGCTCAGTGAAATCGAAACTGATGTTATCCATTACGTTAACACCTCCCCACAGTTTCAAATTCTTTGCTTTCCATTTTCCATGTGTCTTGACTTATCAAAATGAATGGTGGTTGTTATTGTAGTCATTCAACAACTCTTGTAGAAATCCAACATAAGCTGATTTTCAACAGCTGAAACAAAATGCTGACATAATTCAAATACTCTTACTAAAGGAGAAACAGCATGAAAATCACTTTTTATTAATTTTCAAGTATAAAACAAGAATTTATGCATTTGCTTATCCAATGCAAATTATCTCCCCTGTGATCAGTTCCAGCATTAACTCTTACAAACACCTTACACCATCATAATAGATTGTGTTTAATCACTGCAACATATCAAAATCAATTTGAGAGACAAAAATAAGAATGAAACAAAATTAATGACAAGATCCAACGCTGTTCCACATTCCTTGCAGAGCACCCCGGAGAACACAGCAACTCTGCATCTCAGCAGCCTTACATTTGTGAGCTATATCCATTCTGGGATTTTATCCTTTTGCACTTCTTTGCCCTTCCTAAGGATATTCCTTTCTTGACTCCAGCATTCTTAGTGCCACGTGGCTATTCCCAATTCCCACACAAGTAACAGGCAGTGGTACCTCAGGTCAGACCGTGGTACTCTTGCTCATGTCAGGTATTAGCTTCCTGTACCAGTGTGCAGAGACATTCCTGCCTAACAGTAATCCATGGCCTTGTGCCAGACCCAGACTGAAGTGCAAGAACCAACAAACCAAGCCTTTGCAACAAACCTATATGGAGGCAGTGACCCCCTGCCAGCCCAGTCCTCTTCTTCCTTGGGTCATCCAAGTGCCTTCCACTAGTTAACTAACACTTACTGTCAATGGAATAACTGAAAACCAAGGCAATCAAAACCCAAATCAGAGACAAAATTTTCCCTTTTGCATATGTAACAATGAAAAACCTCCCAGTGCATTTAAGAACGGTGTAAATATAAGTGCTTAGTAGTACCCTGACTATCAGTTGCTGTAGGTCATGATAGAGGCATGGAGAAAGAACTACTTCACTTTTAAAGTACAAGTCAGATTGCCAGATGCCACAACGGATGAAAACACAGTAGACAGAGCCACAGGTAGGCCAGTTATCTGCTTCAAATGTTGCCTCTGCAGCACAGTCAGTGTAAGATGGACACTGGGTTTCTATACAGTAAGAAAATGACATGAAGAACCTTTATTGCATAGTTAGCCAGCTGTAGCACGACCACTGGTGGTTGCTTTGTGATGCCAGCCAAAATGAACATTATGGTTCAGTCTAACACTTTGTTGTTGTTGTTGCTCTGGTGAAGAATTTTTTAAAATTTTGTTTTGGGGACTTTTTTGGTGCTTTTTTGTTTTGTTGTTGTTGTTTTGATGGTGGTAGTAGTGTGGTTTTTTTTTTTTAATACTATCAATGCAATGGGCTTTGACACATAATGAGAGTAAACAAGACTTTTGCATAAGAAGATGCTTTTTTTTGGGTCCTTAGAGGACAAAGTCTCTAACAAGTATCATGTTGGTGGTTGGTTAAAAATGAAGCTACTATAGTTGCAGACTGTCAAAGACTTCCATGTTTCAGTGTCAGCATAAAACCCTCAGCTTATTCTGTTCATCCAGAACATCCAAGATTTTAATTCACAAATGATGGGAATTACTCTGAGTAAAAGAAAAACTGTAATTTTATCATCAGTGTTTCTGCACAATCTGCTAGAAGGCCTGTTATACATTCATATGTGTCTTTCTCATTACACAATTAGCTCATTTTAGCGTTTAAAGATTCCTCTTATAGCAGTTCTAAATCCCACTTCGTTCCAATGCCTATGTAAAATACAGTTGTATCAGTTCCACTTCCAGAAACCAATTCAGTTTTGTTTAACATACTGCCTTGCACCACCATCATCTTCCTCTTCTACTACAGGTTAGAACGAGTCAGCCAGGGAAATTCCTGGAAGAAAAAACAAACCAAAACAGAATAAAACCCATAATGGGCAAAGAGTAAGAGGAACAGTTAACTATGATGGAATGCACAGGATATAAAGACTGCTCAAAAATGTTTCATCTCATTTTGTCAAGAATGAAAAGGAATAACCTTAAATTCTGGAAACAGTTATGAAGAACACTAAAAACAGCCAGTGGGGGGAAAAAAACCCAAACAAGCAAGTAACAAGGAAAGCAGATGGCACAGTGTAAAAGGACCCATTCTCCCTTCTCCCAAGTCTAAACACAGTATTTCTGCCTTGCAACTATCTCTGCCTTCTCTGTGGTTCAAGTGATGCTTCCTGAGGTTTTCAAAAGCTCACCAACATGAAGCTTAAAAAAAAAAAAAAAAAAAAAAGAAGGAACACATATGGATACCTGTTTCTTTCTCTCGGATTGTGGATCAATCATTACATTTATAAGAGAAGGTGTTTCCTTGTCAGTCAAGCTTGCTTTCAGAGCATTCTGCAGTTCTTCTGGTGTTTTAACAAAGTATCCTTTACCTCCAAAGGTAGACATAATTTCCTCATAGTGTGAATTTGGCAGGAGAGAAACAGGAGGTACACTGTAACACAATGGAAAGCCTGATTAAAGGCAGGGAATTGCCAACAGACCAATTTAATTACTTCAGTACCAATTTTAAAGCACAAGATGGTTGTACTGGCCTGTTGAATTCTTCTGAGCTGGAAGAAATACAGTTCCTATATCACTTAAGCTATGTTAATAGGGTACCATGCTCACTTTCATCTTCTGGAGACAGTCCAAAGCTTTAGCCAAGTTCTCTTTGTACAGAGATCTCAGCTCCAGAAGCAGAACTTCGGTGTGAACTCAGAATTTGGGTAATTTTGGAGATTATCATGATTTTGAAGGTCAGTCCACTACCAGCTCTCCACTGTGCGGCCTGAACTGCTGCAGGAACCCGAGACAACTAATAATTGCTCTGTGGTGCAAAAAACAGTCTGGAATTCGGTTGGCTGCTTGCTTTTGTAACTGGTTCTTACTTATACGAAGTTAGCCCAGGACTAAATTCGCTTCCTAAAAGTAATTTCAATCTGGTTTACAAAGCATTAAAAATAAAGAGAATGACCATTTTGGTCACTTCTTCTGTAATTAACAGGACATTGAAGATGCTTACCATGTAGCAGGATTGCCCAACTTTAACATCTCCTTCCAGGAATTTGCATCCAAACCAGTGTAAATCCCATTGTTGTTTACTACAATAATCAGGATTGGCAAGTTGTACCTACAAAAAGACACAGTTGGAAGAATTCTGATATATTTTCTCCTTCCTGTAAGATGTTAGAAGTGTTAATTTTCTTTAAAAGGAAAATAAATTAAAAAAAAAAAATCACTTTCACCTGTAACATGATCTAATCATCACCAGTAGAGCACTATGTCATAACAACATAAAAAATGACCATTTATATTTTTTTGGCTTTTTTTCATGTGCTTTATGGGCACCCCATCTAAAAGAGCATCCTTGGCCTTGAGTTAAAGTGATCCTGGCAACACATGAAGAGTGTCTTCTTGAGCAAAAAAAACCCAGTTACCTGCAAATAGTCTCCACCTCCATGCCAGAAAATCCGAAAGCACTGTCTCCTTCTATGCAGACGACTCTCTTTCCAGGTGCTCGGTCTTTGGCTACCATTGCAGCTGCTATAGCAAAGCCCAGCCCCACTCCCATTGTTCCAAAAGTACCTGCATCAAGCCTAAAGGGGAGAATACAGAATTACTATTCCTTTATTTCCACTCTGCCTCTTCAATTAATCCACGGTGAATTACCTTTACTTTTAATACTTTGCCACACACTATTCAAATATTGTTTCATAAATAACTGGTATATAGAGATACCAGATGTACAGATTATTATAGTCAGACAATCATTTGATAAGACAGGAAATGTTTAAAGTGATATAAACATAATGGAACTCTAAATAAAATTAAGAACTCTGGTACACTAGTTTTACTACAATAAAGACCTATTCTCATAAGCTTTTAGCTTGCATAGTAACTGTATTTCAAAAGCATTCAATTACTGTAGAGACAGACAGACAACATGAAATATTTCTATATTTAATTCCTTGAAAATATACCTACAAGTCTGAAAGCCATTGAATACTGCTGTTCAAATTTTAGTCTTCTGTTCAACCAATTTGAAATCAAATTGAAAGCTATAATTTAGTTAGATCATTTCAATCAGAAGCACATAATGGATATAAAAGTACATAAAGAAACAGATTATTTTAGGGTTAACTTTTCAAATTTGCTTTCAGATATACACAGTGCAGTCTGAAAAGACAACCATTAACATTACTGTGTGCTTACTTTAAATAAGGGGGAAAAAGATGCAAACTCTTCCCCCAGCGCTACTGGAAGTATGTGGGTGGGGTTTGCTTTGGCTTTTGGTTGTCTTTTGTTAACAAAGCATTTTGGTTTATGAAGTATTTAGGTTTATTTAGGAGTTTAGTGCTACTTTCACAAGCAGGCATAAGCTTCACAGATGAGAAACTTTCACCAGAAAAAACTCACTTTTCCCCCTGTTCAAAAACCAGCATCTAACTCCTACTTAAACGAGAATGATTAAACTTATACACATAATGATTAAAGTGACACTTCCAAATATGAGTACCTACATTTTAGTCACAGAGGTTTACATGAAAGCATGCCCAATATATAATCCCTATTTTTCCCTATTTTGAAGTGTTTCAAAGAAAAACTCTTCATATGAATTCTTTCCAACATAAGAATTCCAATGATTGTTTTTATTTTTAATCAAAACTTACCACAGACTCTGAGCACAGAAATAAACATCTAGGTCAGGGAATTCAACATGATGCTACTCTCTCACTTTCCACAAGAGACTGAGCAACCAACACCATTCTGTTGCAGAGCATGCAGAGAATGTTAAAATCTATGACAGGACATCAGTATATAGGTGGAAAATTTTCCCTAATCTCTTTCCCAACATGCTAAACTTCTATTTTTTTATTTAGAACGTTTAAAAAGAATTACAAAAATTCTGGGCTATCATACTTCTCAGCTGAATGAAAACATTTATACATAGCTCTAGCCTGTTGGGTCAGCACAACACAAAAGATACCACACCTTTGACGGGGATAACAATTTGGAAGCATAGTCCGTCCAATGTCCATGGTGTTTGCTCCCTCACTTACTAAAATGCAGTCCTTGGGTATCAGTTCTCTGATGTGATGAAAGACTGTGTAATAATTCATAGGCAGGGATTTCCGTAATGCTAATTCCTGAAAAATAAGAGATATCAGTAACTCTTAGGGATAGAATTTATAACAAAGTGCAGAACTGAGGCACGTAAATAATAACAATGGAAATAAGAATGCACTCTGCTAGGTAAGGATGAAACATTTGGTTTCCATGCACTACATCAAGGTTGCTCCTTCTGGTTGCTCCTTCTATCCTGGTAACTCAATCTATTTATCAGAGCAGCTCTCGCTGTGGTCTTCCACTACTGGCTTTAAGAACCCAATCCCAAAGTTCAATGACCTCCACACAGTTTGAATTTATACAAAATAATAGATTACTTAACCCATAATACTTAACTTACAGTTCATAAGCCTGAGAAGGGTAAGCCTGTACCAGAATGGTATAAATTTTCAAAGTCTGGGTGACATGACTGAGAAGTAATTGAGGAGATTGGATACAGACAAGTGACAAAACTGACTAGATATCAGTACCTGGTAAAGTGAGAAACCTTCTCTTTTCTTTAATATAACACTACCTTTGATCTTTCCTCGTTGTTCTTCATTTTCACTCTTAGCCTCTTCCACCACTCTGAATTAGAAGGATATTTGAATGATCTTTTGCTGAATTCTTCTAAGAGCTGGAACAATATTCAAATATTGTAGAGATAGAGATCTTTCAACATATTTAAAAAACAGGCATCAAGAATAACGTTACCAAGAAAGATCCCAGCACAATCACCGTAACACTAATCAGAATGTTTAACACATAATTTGAGAATAGATTGGATGCACAGCATCCAGTTACTGCCTGAAAAATGGTTTTCGTTGAACAGCTGGGGTTTTTTTTCTTTTGCTTTTAACTGGCAATTTACTTTATATGAATCAGAGCAAATTAAAGTCAAAACAGGAGGACACAGGACATTACGTTACCTGCTTAGTCACGGCGTTTATGTCACCTGATAAAATTGCAGCAGGCCTTACATTATTCCCCAGCTCTTCTGCACAAATATCGATCTATATTTCAAAAAGAAAGACCACCATTAACTCAAGGACATTAAAGAGATTTGTTTTTTTAAGTTCAAGTGAGGAACACCATCTAACATAAATGCACGTCTAACGTTGTCCTCATACCTTGTTTTGGCTGCCTTTCCTTTAAATTACATCAGGAAATCCTTTATTCACAGTAAACCCCTATTTTAATAAAAGTTTATATATATCCTTAAAATTGACTGCTTGCACCTTTGAAGCTCTTGCAGACACTACAGAACTTTATTAGAGCATTAAGGAGAAGAAGGTGGTGATTTTAGCAATAATTATATGATAACTAAAAATCTAGGCTTAGGTATACCCTTAAAGTCTAAACAAAGCCTTAATTTTCCTTCTAAGAAAATTGTGTGAATGCTATTTGACAGTAAAAAATTAGCTAGCATGAAGAAACTGAAAAGTAAGTTGCAACTACTGAAACAACTTCTCCACTTGCTTTATCAGTGAGGCATGAAACCTCTGAGGTTACATAGACAGTTAACTTATGACCAGGTCACACAGACTATGAACTGACAGTACTTTGATACTAGTCTTGGACAATGAAAAAAAGATTTCTTTACATTCTTTAGAAAACTTTGTAAAAATAATATCTGTAAAAATAAGATGTATATTTGTAAAAATTTAGCTTAAAAATTTATGCTATTGCCCTAGAAAAGATGAAAAGTTTGACTTGAGATCAGGTTCCAGATCAGTGTAAGCAGGCCAGCCAGCACACTCCTATATTGTCACAGACTCTTAGGGAGATTTGAAGGACATAGACAATTTAAAGACCTGTCTTTCTAAGAGCTGGCAGATTGTTAAATATATTAATTAGTTAGATAGCCTTTCTGCCTCTTTTCTTATTAACATTTCAGAGTAACTGATTTCTTATACTATGACTGACTTGGGATCTGAAAGTGATACTATTTCAAAAAAAACTCAGCTAAGAGAGCATCAAACAGGATGAAAGATTTCATAATTTCAAAGACAGTTTGCTTTCAACCATGGAAATTCCAAAGCTCCAAAGACCATGAAAGTATCATGAGTCTAATCCTGTATTAAACTACAAAGAAGTGTCTGCCCTCCTCATTACAGCAGCACCAAGTTCTTGACAGCGGGAACAATGATGTAACCATTCTTCAAAAAAAATAAGGAAGTAACAAAAATGATTAAAGAAATCATAAGTATTTCTGGAGAATTACAATTAACTATATGCACTGTCCATAGGGCAGTATTTGCCACATGAAATACACTACCAAAATAATTTACAATAATTGTTCTAGGCAAGGCTAGAACACAGAAGACTTGCTTTAAGTGAAAACAATTTTCCTGCTTACCTGGATAACCTTTACATCCTGTCGAAACCTTGGTGGAAGACCAAAATGCAAAATCCAATTCAACCTTGCACCAAGCAAGATGATTACATCAGCATGTTGTAATGCCCTAATAAAGGGAAATGAAAGAATTAGAAAAGAAGGAATTATTATTACATTTAATAGTCTTTGCACAAGTAGAAGCAATCCTAATCACCACAGCAAACCCCAGTATATATATAAAATCCTTCCTTCCTCTAAGATGCTTGATTAGCCCCAAAATCCTGTATCCTTTTACCGAGTCAATCACCAAGACATTCTTGAGCTTAGGAACTTAAGAGGAAAATTAATTAGTACTTTCCTAATACACTGTGTTCAGGAAAGGAATCACTGCATTAGGAGACTAACAAGATGTTATAAGGATGCTAAGGTTAAAGCAAAACACTCACTATGGTGACACTGGCAACAGTGGTACCAAAATTAAGATTGGTGGACCTCTCAGTTTAGTCACCTATTAATTTACCTTTCAGATGGGTAGACAGCATTTCCTATATTTTTTTATTCTCCATTTTTTTTAACTGCACACTTCACAGTGATAAAGCTAAGATGCTCAGCAATGGACAATATTTTAATCTCAGCTGCAAGCTGACTCTGTGCATATTCATACACAGTAGGGCTCTTAGAGTCCATTCACATTAATTTTGCCAAAAGCCCAAAAAAGCTCTTACAAACTACTTTAAACATAGTCATTCAGTGTAGTTTGAAATACCTTATTTTTCTGTATAAATAAAGTGCAATTTACTGATAGTGTATTTGCAAATACCCTACAGAGACAGCAGATGGCCAAACTTCAGCTGCAATGTGTGCATCTCGAGCTTCTGTTTACAGTGCTAAAATAAAGAGCCAGTAGTTTGTCTAGTGCCTGTTTAAAATAAACTGTTTGCCAGTTCCATTTTATGTTATGAAACACATACTAGCTACATTGACACATCTACTTGCCATAGCTTTCAGAGTTACAGAACATTAGCTCTCAGATAAAGCATCTTCCTGGTCAGCATTTCAAAGTGATCCACCTAAATATGTTGTCCCTTTCCAAGCAAGATCTTCAGTGCTCCACGAGGAGGTGCAAAACATGCTTGAAAATTTTTTTGCTGTATGCGTTTTGTCTTCCCTGGCACCTGTAGACCACCAAAATCCCTAGCTGTTTCTCAGATGTTAGGATGAGAAGCCTTGCTTTATATTTACGTGGATCTTGCTGCAGCTACACAATTTGGATGGTCATCAGGAACTACTCCTTTTGCCATTGGCGTAGGCAAAAAAGGCAGTCCACAAAGGTCCACCAACTTTCTGATGTTGTTTTCAGCATGTGAATAAGCAGCACCTGAATGAAATGAAAGAGACTGCTTAATACTACAGAAACCAACTGCATTCTATTGAACTTCAATTAACCTGATTACATTATTGGTAGAAAGAGTACTGTTTCCCATTATGAAAGCTGCCTGTCATTCTTCCTTCTGAAGAACTCAAAACCTAACATTCAAACCTACAGACATTGGGATTTAAAATGTCACATATTTTTGACAAAAGGATTGTTGTGTTTTGTTTTTTTTTTTTTTTAAGACCTCAGCTGAACTATTTACTTATTTCTCTGTTGGGAGATTTTGTTTATCTAGAATGACAATTTTTAGTGGATAAAGTTTGGTATTATGGGGCAGAGGCTTCTCCAGCAACAACATGCAATGGCCTTTGTGTCGTGTCATGTCATTTCTCACTTACCCCCTGCATGCTGTTGCACCATGCTCCACGGAAATCTGCCCAAAGAGGCCTCCTAAAAGCCTCTAATGAAAAGAGAGCAGCCAAAAGAAGACCTTGTAAAGGTCTGTGTTTGTGCACGTGTTCAGTTTGTGTTCAGTGTGATGCTACCTTCAGTACATGGCTGCTGAATTAAGCCTGCCCAGGCAGCCTAGATAACTGACTGGTCCTTGTGCAATGACTTAAGTCTGTGAGTCTTAAATCCTTTTGTACGTATTTCAAAAATTCTGCTAACAACAATATATAGCACAAAATCCAGATACATTTGTTGAGTAGATTCTCAGTTGTTGACATCAACAAAACACAGATCTATGTATTTTTGAGGGACTGATTTCCACCTTTCAATTTCAAACAACACCCTTTTGTTCACGTGTACCCGGCCAGACACAGAGAAAAAATACCCATAACCTCTCCTAATCTCCTGATTCTGTTTTCAATTTCATTACCTAATCCATTGTAAGATCCATCTCATTTCAATCATTACACTCCTAATTAAACACAGACACAGAGCGTTGCCACATCTGCAGTAAAACAACCTGGGTTAAACAAGCTGGTTATTTCAATCCTGCTCTGAGCTGACCTGTATCTTTAGCACCACTGCACTGGCTAACGTTCCACAAGGAGGGACAAAACAAGAGAACCAGAAGAGGATAATTATCCTCTATTGCCAGGGGCACCTCTACTTCAAGAATTAATTACAGTAGCAGAGTAGAATGGAAAGTCTGTAAAACAGCAATAACAGCAACACCTGCTGTGTTGCTTTATATCCCCACACAGGTAGGGTGGCAGTTTCAGTAAGACCCAATCGAAAAATGACCTTTGGTTATTCTTATTTTTGCTAAATGTACCAGAGCATTAGACAGAGAATGTGATTTCTGTATTCCAACAGAATCGTTTAGGAATTTTGGAAGAGATCCCTTGGCTTTAGATTTAAAGACAACTGTTATCCAATCTTTTTCTACGTAAACTTCTATTTTATCAATTGACTTTTCCCTTAAACTAGATGGAAAAGACAACACCTATAAAACAGAATAAAAATATTCTAAAACCAGAGCAGATGTTAACATCAAATTCCAAAGAAGTTTGTGTTTCTCCTACTGGTTGGTTTGTTTGTTTTACTGGAGGTGAAAAGAAGGTGAGTAACACTTCTGGAGAAAAGCAATCACTTGGTCACTGTTCTTGTCTTGGATTTGTACAGCTCAAGCTACATCAAAGCATGCTACCTTTGCCAATGATTAGCAGAGGCTGCTTGGAAAGAGCAAGGATAGAGGCTGCTTTGGACACAGCAGAGTGTTCAGCCATGCTGATGGGAGGTGGTAGGCAGCATTCCACATACCTGAAGAAAAGCAAAACAAAAGAGGTTCTTTAAAAAAATTCAAAACAAGAAATGTTGAAAGATAAAACCTATTGTTTAGCATAAAATTGCAGTTGCTACACACCATGTTACAGCATTTATTAGAGTGGGATTTTTTTTTAAAACAGGCTTTGAAGTTTTTCTTCCTTGTTTCTTTAATCTTATAGGCAGTGTTGTTCCAGAGATTTACAGAGTGACATGATTATATTACCATTTTAATTCATTCTGGTTTTGCACATTTCTTTACAAACTGTAATCTGCATCACATTACAGTGGAGTGTTACATTTAGAGGCTGCATCTTCTTGCTTTAGGAAAATATAATGTGAAAGCAACTTATAACTCTACTTTCTTTTATTCAGTGACTGAAAAAATGAATGTAATCATTACGCACTTGACAGAGCTCTTATTCACCTGAAGATTCACAAAGTCCCCGGGTATGTCAATATAGCAGGAACCTGGACGACCATACATGCTGGTTCTTACAGCCTAGGAAACAGACAATCACAGTTTTAATCACTGCTTGACAGGATTTTAAAAATAGTTTAAAAAGGCAAGAAAACTCTTCTGTAGGCAGAGAAGGTACACAGTTTCATACTGCTGATGAACACAGCTTCCATGGAGTGATTTACATCAAACAATTGAAGTTTTGACAGCTATTTACATTTTCCCTTATATACCTGCTGGAGCCTTGCAGCAGATGTACAGTATTAGAGTCTAAATTCTTTGTTTAATTTAAAATGAGACAACTGCATTATAAGCTGTTATGTTTGGAGATAAAAAATTAAACATTCATGTTGAATTCTACTTAAAGCAGCACAAACAGAGAAAAACCAAGATGACCAATGCCTCCATTTTTTACTACTTTTGATTCCAGTTCTTCTATTGCAGGTAGATGCTCCACTGAATTTGCACTTCTGGAAACAGTATCATTGTATGCAGAATTTAGGCTGACATGGCTGAAGTGCTGCTGCTGCAGCAGTACCACGAGACTTCGCTAATCCTCTCTGAAGCACTGAGATAAGGATGTGTTTTCTCTCAGTCTCAAAAAAAACACCAACAAAGCAATAAACAAACTCAAACCCCAAACACAACCATGTCCACTGCCTCCCCTTCCAAATCTCCTTCACATGAGAGTGGCATAACAGCTGAAGTTTGTAGTATTCCATTTGTAGTCATTGCACCTCTCCCTAAGAGCATTTATTTCATAAAAATTTTCCTGCCTGAAGCTAAGAAAAAACACTGCAGGGATCAGTAAGCATCAGATTGGATCAGAATCTATTTCTAAACTATTCCATAGCATTGTTCCTAGGAGAAATCTCCCTGGTTGTTAATTGACACAATCAACCATCACCTCATATCTGCAGGATAAAACTGCTTCAAGTAACAGCTACACAAAAATAAACCCTCAAAACTTAAACAGAAGGAGACAGTTACCTGATGTTCTGTTGCCAATTTTGTATTTTTTCATACCTTTTCAATAACAGCAGGAATAACTTCCAGGCTGCTTGGGCGGACAGAGAGTTTGTTGTACAGCCTACCAGCTTCAACCTGAATAAATGCAAACAACCATTTTATTGATTTAACAAAGTGATGTGCTCATTTCCATCTCATTTCAACATTAATAAAATGAAAGAAATGCCACATGAAAAGTAACAAGGTGAGAACTTCCTCACAGGAAAATGCAGTAGCTCAGCTGGTGGATACTGTCAAAACCATACTCATTCCTCTGAGGGATTAAGCATTTTTTTTGGTTTTTTTCCCTCTAGAAACTGGTGTTTCTCTTTTTGGAAAGTTTATGTTGCTTTTGCCCCTTTCAGAACAGACAAAGGCAATTTACACGAGTATGTACTTTGCATATTTGTACATTCCAGGCAATCTGCTGTATTTACACACTGTCAGTTTTAAACCAGTAGATGGAGCAAATCAGCAGCATTACAGGATCTGTTAGGAAATGTTAGTGTTTGAGACTGTTACTCCTACAAGAATGAAGAAACAACATCAATTATTTAACTGAAACATTTCTGTTGTATGTCTGTGTACCTGTGGGAATTCTTGGAAAGCTCCCATGGTTTCCTGATTTCTGTCAGAAGAACCTCCGATAACAATCAAAGGCCTAGAAAAGTGCATTTAAAAACAAAACAAAGAACCTTAAGCATGCATACATTTTTAATAGCTAAAATCACATCTGTGAGTTCTCCTCACTGTCAAATCCTACTGCTCTTGGGATGCTGTACATACCTTCAGAATCCATAGATACTCTAAAGACATAGACAACAACCAGCACAATACAGGAGTGGATTCTAAATACTGTTGTGTCAGACAGTAGACTTCCTAGCAGCTTTTGGGTCACTAGTTTTAGGACAACCTGGTTATATTTAGTGACTTGCATCTATCATAAAACTTCTAAAACCAAGTAATATCACAGGCAATTTTCATTTAAGTTTGATAACATGGGTGACAAGGTGGTTTGAGTGGAATGATATCTAATCTAAAAAGCTAAAAAGTACTGATTGACCCAAAAAGTTTTGTATATAAGAGGCACTGTAACGTGTACAAGCACTACAACTAAGAAGCACACTAAGATACAATTTTTTGTTAGGATTAGGTTCTGTTTGTATAGAATTTGGAACATGGCAGAAGTTAGCTGACTGACTGAGAACATTTCTCCCTCCATTTTGTCTTCAGTAAAAAACCCCAAAGCCCAAAGAAATGAACAAAAATTTGACATGCTTACAAGCAGTCCTGCTCTTAAATCAGATCATGGCTATGTGTGGAAGGCAGTATTAGCTTACGATATGGGTTACAAATTACACAGGAGCAATTTTTACTATAATTTCCACAAAACACAATAAATTATTTTCCTACAGCAAATGAAAACCGGTCTTCTATTCCATTTGTAGGTCAAACTTCTTAAAATGCAAAATGCTGAGTCAATAGAAAAAAGGATCTCTTATTAATCTGCTTATTCCTTCACACTAAATTGAAATATTGTGTCAGTAGCTTTCTAGGCTTTTTCTGCTGAACAGTACCTCTTCAGACACAGCCTTTCCTTTGACTGCATTTATCTATATAATGTATCAAGCTGAAACATTTACAGTGTGCTCCATGCATAATCTTAAATTTAATCCCCCTTAAGGCTTGAGTATATGTGTATCTAGATCCAAGCTTCATAACCAGGCCATTTCTCCACCATAAATCAAAAATCTCAGTTCTAATCTCCTGACGAGGTGAAATGAGAACTTCAGGCTGTATCTTACCTTTATGAAAAATTCTTGTGGAAAAACACACTTGATTTATGCTCTACACATTTTATTCTGCTTGTTCCCTGCCATCAGCTAAGTAATTACAGCTATCCATATGTAACGAGTTTGTTTGACAGTGACAATGACAAATCCCATGTTCCTCTCACTTACCATTTCAGAATTTATTTAAATGTTTTAATGAACAAGGTAACTAACTACTGCTTCCCTATATAATGAAATATAATTATGAAACTGCTCAACTTTTTAGACAGCCAACTCCAACAGCTATATCTTGAAAAAATTTAGCTCTGCTCCTAAAGTTTTACATAATTGTAACTAGAAAGAAGTTCCCCCCCCCAAATCATTGTACTACTGTCACAATACTGTAGACATTCTGAAGAGCAGTGCTTATAAAGCAAGTTAAAAACAACAGTGAGGCAGGAAAAGCATTGACTATAATGAAACTAGTAAGAATAATAAATCCTACAGACTTGCAGAACTTCACCAAACTAAAAAAAAATTTCAGCTGCAACTTCAGGTAAAGAGCTTACCAAAGTAATACTGGGAAGAGACTGAAACAGAGAGCAATCAGAAGAATGGATCTCCAGGCTTAAGGAGGACAACTCAAACAGGGCTTTACCTGTTTGGTAAAGCCTTAATATGAGTTATTTAAAGTCACAACCAGCAGAGGCAGTTCAACATTCAGATTACTTCTGTGCAACATGAAGTAAAAAAATGTGAGCCATTGTAGTGCATTAACAATGCCAGGTGTTGGAATCACATAACACATAGGAGATACCTATGAGGGCTAACCTTGCCCTACAAATTGGTCTCCTCATGCCACTCATCCCTCAGAGGAGCAGGAGATTTAACACCTTGTTGCCACAGAGAGCAGAAGACCTCTCTAACTTCTGCTCCCAGCTGCATAATCCACTCTTCCCGCTCACTTAGGTGCTTGAAGCCTGCCTGGCTGCAGAGGGAGCTATTTAGACCACTTATCTAACACGACATTACTTACTTATTTTTGCTGGGTTAGCTTTTTGGCAGAATAATGAACCGAAAGTTATTGTTAGGGCAGACAAGTACCAGAGCTATCAAGAGTGCAAGCAGCAAGAGTACAAGGCCAGGAGAAAGGTGTGGAGATTATATTATTATATATTATTATACCCCTAGTCTTTCTCTCCAAAGCACAGCACCCTTTCTTACAATGGCAATGCCAGCCAAGCATAACTGGGAAGCATTTCTGGAATCCTTAAACATGTGATACAGTTGCCTACTAACAAAGGGGCCAAGGAAAATTAGTTCCATTAGGCTAAATTCAGGGTTTGTGAATGCTTACTTCTCTCCTTTTGGTACATGGCGGGCAGAAGGCAAGCCTGATGTGACCAATGAAAAAATCATTGGGCAAACAGTGTGGTTTGGTCAGGGAAAACCGATTTTCTTACTATAATGTCAATTTTCTGTCCAACTAGGTAAGTCACTCCCTTCACCTTTTGCCAGAAATACAGGTTTATGAGAGATAAAGTCAGGTAAACAGACTTTGTCTCAAACAAAAAAAAATTCATGAGAAAATCCATAAGTAAATGTGATGAACATTTCTTTTGTGTAACCAAATCCACAACTGTTCAAAAAGCAAGGTTTTCGTATGATCTTTCTTCTTTTAATCCAAGGTCACATAGCGACAGCAAAGCTTTGTTCAAAACCTCATTTTTTTAAGAAAGGATTTGAACACTAGAGGGTTTTTTTTTCCAAAATGTCAGAGACTCGATTTGTTAGTGTTCCCATTACCTTGTCCATCACCCCCTGCTAATTTCATGTTCCGGATCCCATTGTTCCAGATCACACTCTGTGCTGTGAGCACATGTGCTTGGTATTACTACAGCTTCTACCCCAAATACCTCAGTACAGCTTTCTGAACACCTTTCTGTGACAGACCAGCTGAAGTTGTCACGTCTCAGTGAAGGCTTATAGGAGTAAATACTATCACTCTGCAAATCCTTTAACTCAATACTTAATTACTGTTCTAAATGTCTGCGTGGGAAGCAAATAGGAATTTTAACAATGCAGTTGTCAATTTGTTCACATATGAAACACAGTAATTCAAAGGCAACGAGGACTTAAACTTAGAAAAAACCTTTAAGACAATCTCCACAATCAATAAAGCATTACAGGCTGAACATCAATTTCATTTTCAAACATATCCATACAACCAGCTATGCTGATAGATTTTCTAGTATGTGCACAGTGGGGTTGGATAAAAAAATGAGAATTTCATCCACAAGATGACAAAAAAATGAAACAAAATTACTTTTAGGGTTGAAAAGTAAAGAATTTCCTTGTCACTACTCACAGGAATGGCAGGGGAAGTACAATACTAAACACTGTGGAGCTCAACATCTGCAACAAATAACAATTATTTGTATAATAATAATATTGTATAATATAACATACAATTACTGGAATTTTAAAGTGAAAATGCAGTTAAATTACCAGCAGTTAATGGTTGCATTTGCCATCCCACCGAGGGCATGTAAAAAACCTGGACCGGACACTACAAGACATACTCCTGGTCTGGATGAAAAGAAAAAAGAGGGAGAGAGAAAAGTAAGCACAAGGAACACCAAATAAATCATCAACAAAAATTAGTTACAATGCTGAAATACGGAATGCTAAAGTTTTACTCATGTCATCACAAGTCAAGAATGGCAAGGACTTTGTACGAAGGACTGTAGATAAGACATAGAAATCAGAAACCATTTAGCTGTATCAACCCAATTGGAACAACAAGTAAACAGTTGTTATGGGCCATCCACACAGAGGTCTGCAACGTGCACAGGCTTATCCTAACACAGCCCCTTACTTCTTCTATTGTATTTACTCCATCATCTAACATTTATATGGAATTTGGTAAACCACTTATGTTTGCAGTTTTCTCAACTGCACTGTAGCAGCGGAAACTGGCGACGAAGCTCACAAAGGAAGAAGTGCATCTGATTCAGTACAAATGTATTACACTTTAGTTGAGGCAGAGGAACTTGTTATTCCAGGTGATGACATAAAAAATGATAATTCTTAACTAGTGAGCATTCCTTAGCAGATTTATAGACTATTTAAGTATCAGGAAAAAAAAAACCAAACAGCTTACTTCCAGAGGGTTATTCAAAGAAAGAAAAACTACAAAGCTGTGTAACAGAGCTGCCACACAGACAGAATAAGGAGTGACCACCTGCATCATCGGGCTTGCACTTCTGAGTGAGCAGACACCAGATGTTCACTTCAGAAAAGGATTCATACCCAAGAAGCACAAGTCACAGGCCACTGAATGCTTCCTGACAGCATAAATAGCAAAATGCAATACTTTGTGTCAGGAGAAGCACATGGGAGACTGGAAGGCATATATGATCAGTGTCTGTACTGGTAAGGTCTTTGTTGAACAATACACCCAAATGGTGAGACTGAGGTCCACCAAGTTGCAGCAAACAATGGTGGTGTGATTTCTGCCCCTCATACCAATGATGTCAAGCCACTATTCAGATATCAAAGGGGAAAAAAAATAAAGAAAGTTATAAGATGGTCAATATTACATGACTTTAAGCACCTCCTTGCTCCTGGTCTGAGTCATTGCAACAGAAATATTGGTAACCATCATTGATATTTCAACATTCATGCTCCATTTTAACTGCCCTACATCTGCACACACTAAAAAGTCCCAGCTCCAGAACAGACAAACCTCTCTAGTTTCCATCTGTTAAGTCTAACACAGTTAATATTACAATATTAATATTTACTAAATCATATTGCAAAGATTGATAAATATGGAATGTACCTGCCAGTCAAATATCCAACAGCAGATGCAGCATAACAGGCCTGTTGAAAATATTGGAGTTAATTACACAATTATTATTATTATTATTATGTATACATTTCATAACATCTTGTACATAACTTTCAACAAAAATATTGAAAATATGGAGGTACAGATTATTCCCTGATTTTCAGAGTTTAAATGTAAGCAAAAGTACCCCTTCTCCCTCCCCATTTTAAGGTGTGTTCATGAAGATTTATGTGAAAAATCTCAAGACTCCTCTCCACATTTCAGGCTCCTGTTGTTACAGAACATTACATTAGAAATATCTGGGATTTGAAAAAGGAAAAAAAATCAACAAGATAGAATAAACCAACCAAACAAAAAAAACCCACCCAACACTAAAACAATGCATAAAACTTCTGCCTTCCACTGCATTCTGGACTACCATGGAAGAAGGATTTGCAAGAGAAAGACAACAAGCAGAAACCCAGCCATCACTGGAATGACTCACTGTATGTCAGAAATTAAGCAAAAGGTTGAACTAACACACTGGAGAAATTAATTAGATGATTAGGGCTTGTCTTTTACAAGTTGGGTTGCTGAAGTACTTCTTACTCCACCTCCAGTACAACACTTTGCTTTAGCTACTTTGACATTTTAAAGAAAAATTGTGTATTGATTAATTTTCTCAAAAGTAACATCTACTACACATGTTAGCACAGCTTATCAGCAGTGTGACATGTGACATTGCCAACTCTTTCATATTCTCACGCTTTGTCTTGAATTCAGCAAGTTTAAACCCTTTTGGAAAAAACTCATTTTGCAATTTTTTGTAATTTTTTTTTAAGTAAGCTCCTGGCCTTAGAGCCTGCCTCTTTCATTTTTAAATAGTTGAGATTTGGTTTTCTTAGTTATATTCGAGCACTCTTGTGATAAGAAGAATAAGTAACACAAAAGCATTAGGATAGGGACTTGTCAACCAAAAAAGCACACTGATAAGAAAAATCTCTTTTTACTTTTCATACACGTCTGGCAAAGAGAAGAAAAATGTCATTTGTGTTCAAGAATTTGACAACAATTTGATGACATATCTGTGTGCAAAAGTTTGGAAATATCTGGAGTATGTGTTACGAAAAATCTTGTTAATGGAGCTCTAAGCATGGAGTTGAGCTTCTATGGCAATCATGTTTTAAAACAGTGGCAAAATAAAGCAGCACATAGAATTTGGATTCATGTGCAGTCACTGCTATTAAAACTTTTGCTGCTTCACTCTCCAAGGAAGCAACATGACTTAAGATATCTGTGTTTAGAGGAGATTGTAAATAACGTTAAAGGTATACTTAAAAGATTTTTTGTGTGAATAGTAGAAAGAAGAGCCATTTTACTGACGAATCTTGCACCCTCACCCCTAAAATGTGAGTAATAGCACTCATTATCTGAAAATAGGAGAGGAAGAAATGTAGGAAGTCTAGATGTAGGCACCCAACTCAAAGCTTGCAACCACCCATGAGCTTGAACTGCAGACAAAGCAGAGGCCTGTTCCTCCCATTAAAGTAGAAGGACACTAAGCAGGGTTTAATTAGTTCTGTTTTCAAATCAAACATAAACAACATAGTGAGTAAACAATGGTTAAGCATTTCTGTACCAGCACCCCAGGTAAAACAGTACTGCCATTCCTAAGAGCAGGTCCGAGGCCCTCATATTAAGGTACCTAATGTTCAGTGTTCCAGGACTGGTCTGTAGAGCTTGTGATAACTCATTATGAGAAAGGACCTGCTGTATGAACCTGAGCTTGGGTACATGGTGTCTTCTGTTACCACATACAACTTAAGTCCAGGCCTTGCAAATAATGAACCAGGTTTAAAGCAGCAGTCCCAGAATAATAAATGATTTGCTAATGGCCAACAACTTGTCATTGAGAAAGCGTGACTCCCAACTAACTCAGGTTATGAATATCAAGAAGAGATTGCTTTGAATATTATAGTGATAATTATTATTAAAGATTAGGAACTAAACATAAGCAATGTGCATTATTGACAAATAACAATCTAGTAAAGGGTTTTTTTTTTTAAAGTTAAAAATTCATCTGGGTTATTAGTCTTCCAAGCAGTCACAGCAATCTCTAATTACCCAGGGACAGATACACAAAATACATGCCGCTGTGGAGTTGCAACACAACTTTTCAGTGTTCAAAGGGCATTTGGATGCAGGCCAAAGTGCTCCTGGTAAACTTATGCCATATTACAGGCCATGGGAGATTGGCTCACGGCTATTGGCAGTGCTACTTATCTTTTAACTTCATGCTTTAATCTGGTCTTGTGTTCTGCAGTTTTATGGGCTTTTCACAGGATCACAGAATCATTTAGGTTGAAAAAGACCTCCAAGCTCACAGAGTCCAACTTCTGACCGGCCACCACCTTGTCAACTGGACCACAGCACTGAGTGCCAGGTCCAGTCGTTTCTTGAACACCTCCAGCGATGGTGACTCTACCACCTCCCCAGGCAGCAAAAGGACATCAGGAAAATTTTGTCAAGAACATTTGTCAGTTTTCCACAACTGACGCCAACCAATAAATATGGTGCTTGATTAACATCTTGAGATTTTTTTTTCCTGTGTTTTAACTTGTTTATGGGTCTTGTGTCCTATGAGCACTACTAATTAGAATTTTAGCACTTTTACAAGGAAATGGTTTTGCTACATCTGGCCCAGAAATGAGGCAGAAACTTGACCCTTGGAAAAACCCTTAATTTTCCATATAGATAATACACAGCTGCTCCCACCAATAAAGGAAGCAGCTGTATACACATTTTCCAGAGCCAGACCACACAACTAATAAACTTAGACATTTAAAACTATGACATGTAAATATTGAGTGTATCTTGAATATACTGTATATAACCTTTCACTCTTTCCTCTGCCAAGCAGTTACTCTGTGTCTTCAGTGAGGATATAAAACAAACCAAAATTCAGTACAAGATGTATCTTTATTCATCCTCTTCCAGTCCCTAAAGAAGACAAACCCTGACATCTTGATACTAAAACAAGTCTTCATGTAATTTTCATTCCACTAAACAAAAGTATTTCATCTTTTACACATTTCTTGTCTATCAGACTCTTGTAGAGTGACAAAAAGGATGATAAATAGGACAGCATCTCATTTGGCAGTGCAAAGCAATCTTCCTTGTTAATTACAGACATATGAGGACATTAATTTTAATTGTGTTAATAACCACAGCCAAAACTAGAATATTTGCTAAATGGCCTACAGGAACATAAAGGCTGTGTTGAATTCCCAGTCCTTCAAGGAATCAAATACACCTTTTAAACATGTTTGTATATACTTGCCTTTCTCATATGTTGCAGATTTTCCACAGAGACACGCATTCCTCTAAATTTCCACGTTCCAATACAAGAACGTAAGGATTAGACATCAAAAACACACAGCTCATGACCACTGTTAACTGAACTACTGTTATAATACTTTGCTGGGGACTGGGACAATCCACAAAGGCTACGAACTACATGGTAGAAAACAGAAAAAAGAACACTGCTGCAAAATACAGGTCCAGAATATCTGAAGGATTTTCTTGTGTTAAAGTGGTAAAATTCTAATTAATAGTATTCATGGGAGATAGACCTCTAAACAAGTTAAAACACAAGAAAAATCTGGTAAGATAATGATCAAGAAATTTATTTACTGGTTGGCATCAATTACAGAAAACTGACAAAGGTTGCAGAGCAACTCTGAGTAAGGAAAACTGATGGTCCATTTGCCAGCAGTCCCACAACTGGCAGTTACAGCTTGTGCAGCAACCCTTGAAAATGAGGTCTAAACCTGAGCTTATTATCTTCAACCTCAGACCACCTAAGGAACTACTGAATGGCTAAGGAAGTTTTTACTACTGGGGAAAAACAAACAAAGCCAGAACTGGTGGCAAAACATCAAAATGGTTGCCACAACAACCCCATGGAGCACTACAGGTTGGGGACAGAACAGCTGGAGAGTGGCCAGGCAGAAAGGGATCTGGGGGTACTGACTGACAGGAGGCTGAACATGAGCCAGCAGTGTGCCCAGGTGGTCAAGAAGGCCAATGGCATCCTGGCCTGGATCAGGAACAGTGTGGCCAGCAGGAGCAGGGAAGTGATCCTTCCCCTGTACTCGGCACTGGTTATGTTGCACCTTGAGTGCTGTGTCCAGGTCTGGGCCCCTCAGTTCAGGAAGGACACTGAGGTGCTGGAGCAGGTCCAGAGAAAGGTAACGAAACTGCCTTTGAAGGGTCTGGAGCACAAGTCCTGTGAGGAGTGGCTGAAGGAGCTGGGGGTGTTCAGCCTGGAGCAGAGGAGGCTCAGGGGTGACCTCATCACTTGCTACAACTACCTGAAAGGAGGTTGTAGCCAGGGGGTGAGGGTGGGGGAAATCTCTCTCTTCTCTCAGGCAACAAGTGACAGGACGACAGGGCAGTGTTAAGCTGCAACAGGGGAGGTTTAGTTTGGACATTAGGAAGAAGTTCTTTACAGAAAGAGTGATCAGACATCGGAATGGGCTGCCCAGGGAAGTGGTGGAGTCACCATCCCTGAAGGTCATTTCCCTGAAGGAAAGACACTTAGTGCTGTGGTCTGGTTGACCTGGTGGTGTTCAGTCAAAGGTTGGACTCAATGAGCTCAGAGATATTTTCCAACCTAACTGATTCTGCGATTCTGTGAAAATGCTGAGGAGCCTGAGTCTAATTTCCGACATCTACACAACGAAGCTGAAACACAAATAACTAAGAGAGTCTAAGTGTATGTTCATGCTTGATTTTGAGCATTCAGGAGCATTATAACTTTCTGTGGTTTACTGTTTGGTGAGCATTTAAAAAATTGTTACTGGAAAAAAATCATAATTATTTAAAATCTCAGGACAGGCTTATCAGTTAGCAGGAAAACTTTCCTCTTTGGGCACTTAAGAACAGAACATAGACAGGGAAAAAAAGTAAAGAGGTAGGTCATAAAGAAATTAAACTTCAGAGTAAAATTCAGAGTAAAAAAAGAAAGTAAAATTCAGAAATGAAAATTCAGAGACCCCATTCTATCTAGTAAGAAAACATAAACTGAGTTTCATTCCACTGTAGAACATTTCAGGCAAGGATTGGTCCCACTATAGATATATACTTACAGCTTGTTCATTTCTCATTCCCACATATTTTATTCCAGCTGCCTGGGCTGCAATTGCAATTTCAGTGACAGGAATACCAACAATGCCAAACATGTATTCAATATTCTATAAAGAAAAATGTTAAAAGAAATCAGATTTTTTCTCCCGGAAAGACAGCTTTAATAAGCACATGCCAAACACAGACATGCTAACAACACAGGCAGTCTAAAACTAAAAGGTAACAACATATATGGTCACACAGAAGTTCAGAGGTCACTGTGGAAACACACACAATGCAAGCCGGTATTTGCAGCTCAGCACTCTGCGGTTGTGAAAGCCCTGGATTTTGGAGGCCCACAGGGAGTGGGACAATGGTTCAGTGCTTTCTGCTGACCGATTCTCACTTGGGACTTTTCTGTCACTTTTCCTGTTTCCCGGTAAGTCAGCTTCATCTACTCTCACGGCATCTCATCTCACGTTCTCGCACTTTCACAGAAAACTGACACCAAAAAGGCCCCAAACAATAACTGGGATAGTACCGCGCACAAAGAAACGCAGAGATAAAGAAGACCGTGCTTATTTTTATTACAGCCGAGCTCCCTTTCTCTGTGCGTCACAGGTTAAAGGCAAAGTCTTCTGTCAAGGCCGGTGTCAGGTCAGCACCAGCTCGAGTTCAGGGCCAACACAGAGCTTTGCTCTCTGTAAAGGAGGCGCGGGAGGCACATCCGGCTGCCACGGGAAGAGCCGCAGAGGGCTGCCGGCATTGCCTGGCGGTAACGGGGATACCGGCTCAGCTCGGGAAGGGGCGAAGAAAGGAACTAGTCCTGGCCAGCCCGCTCCCGGGGCCGTGCGACGGGACCTCCCTCCCTCTCCCCTCCCACACAGCGGCGGGGACAGCCCTTCCCGCCCACTCCCGGTGAGTCCGGCCGCGCACACCCGTTCTCCGCGGGCACCCGGCGCTGTCCCTGCCGGCTGGTTTGCGGCCCCGCGCCCTCACCTGCTGCCGGAGGGCCTGTGCGATGAGCTGCGCCCCGCTGAGCGCCTCGCCCGCCTCGCCCTCCATCGCGCCGGCACCGCCGCACCGGCACGGCCGGAGAGCGCGGCAGGTGACTGACAGCCCGCCCGGCCAATCAGGCAGCGGGGGCGGGACCTAGAGCCGCCGGTACCGCCCCTGCCGAGGGGGCGAGGCCTGGGGGAGCTCCCGATTGGCCAGAGCAGGTGACCAATCAGGAGCCCGGGAGGCGCGGGCCCCCAGCGCGAGGTGGGCGCGGGCCGGGCCTTCCCGGCTCCAGGCGGGAGCGGGGCGGGATGCGGCGGGAGCGGGGCGGGAGCGGCCTCGGAGAGGGGCAGGCGCGCTTGGTGCCGGCCCGGCCTGGCCTCGGCCCCGAAGGCCTGGGTGAGGCGCAGGGCCTCGCTGCGGCGCGGTGGGATCGGTCAGAGGTGGCAGACGCGGAGCGGGGCAAAGCAGGGGAGGGTTTGGGGTGGGGGTGCCCGGCGCCCACGGGAGGGAGTGTGGGGCATCTTCCCAGAATCCCAGCGGAAGGATGGCGCACACCCGTTTCCTGGCTCGGCCCATCCCGGCACGTGTGGCAGAAGTGACACAGTTGACAAGATGTCCCTGCCGCGCCCTCGGCTTGTCCAGCCAAACCCCTAAGGATAGCAGCCTTCCCCTCGCCCTCACTCACCAAACAACAACAACAAAGTAGCTAACAAAACACAGATAACATAAAGCCTTTGCAAAACCTACGTAGTAAAATAGTGTAATCTGATGCAGCAAATCAATGCAGTAGACAGGATGTATCAGTGGGAAAAAAACCCTTGAATTTCACTATATATAGTCTTATTATATGTATGTTGTATAATATATATTATTATAATAGAATGGTAGCAACATCACAATCTATGTATATCATACAACGTGAAAAAAGTATTTTTATAGCAATTTAATATTTGCCTAGTAATAATTACTTTTTATTTTACTGTCATTACTGCTTATGTTGCTATTATGTTACTTACTGGTACTGTTTATGTGACTACACTACACATCGGGCATGGCCTAACATGCATTTGCTGTTAATCACTTGAGAGGACCCAGACTAGTGCTGTGCTACCTCTGTTATTTTTGTAGTCTGTTGGATTATTGTGAGTACAGAAGTTCTAAGAAGCAGGGTAGGTGTTGCTTTTCTGTGATATGGTGAGAGGTGACACACTAACTTTTCTAAATCCCTTGAAAAACTAATGACTGGATGCTTTACTTCATGACAAACAACAGAATCTGTTGATTCGATAGTTCTGAAAACCTGAATAGGAAGAGTTTGCAACGGGTTTGCGGGGAAAACTTGGCATCCGAGCTCAAACACCAGTCTTTTTACCCTTTGTGTAGAAGGAATATAACTGGAATATTGTGACTGGATGACAATAATACTGCTATGAAATACTTATATTAGGGTGAGATGATCCTGCTGGAGCCTCTCTGCCAGGCAACAGACCACATAAATCACAGAAAAGGGATGGAAAAAGAGTTAAAATTAATAAAGCATTCCAATTCATGAAAATTTAAAGTCATAGCTCAGGTGACGTGACAGCTCTATAGACCCTAAGCAAATTAACTTCTCCTTAAGGAAAGGATTTATTAGATGGTGTAGCATTTTCCAGGAAGAAAAAAATCCATGATGTGGCAGAGACATATTTGAAATCTCAGCTGCCTAAGGGCTGAGTAAACCCCACTGCTATCCTTATTTTGCTGGAAAGGTTAACATACCCAAGCCCAGCCGTGGGGCTTGTCACAGGTCTGTCTCCTTGTTAGGAGCAATCCATTAGAGAGCAGTTGTTTTAAGATGCCAAACAAGGGGAAAGGCTTTGGGGAGCACTCACACAAGGGCTCACCCACTGTCTGTAGGACTAGCAGCAATCACAGCCAAGGGAAAGGACTTGGAGGAATTATTGTAGTTGTTATTTTAGTTGGCCCAGGTTTCACCAGATAGGACTGTGTGCATGTTGCACGTTCAGTGCGGAACCTCTTGTGCATCTAAGTGAGGAAGGGATTCAGATTCATACTTTTGAGTCCTTCTGACCACCAGAAAATTAACTGTGGTAGAAAAATAAGAATTCTCCAAGCAAGTTTGTAAAATACACCATTTTGTAGAAGCCTGTTATTTTTTCTGTTGGTGTGTTTGTCTTAGAAGGCAAAAAGGCGATTTTTCTAACACATAGCAATTCCATCCCGTGGTCTGAAACTCTCCAGCTCTTTCCATCCCTTATAATGATGAATTCTAATTACATCTTAGTTGACAGCTTTATTGAAGAGCAGCTGACTAGAACCCATTCCTGTCCTAAATAGGCATTTTGGCTCTGAAAGGGGTGACAGAAATAGAAAAGACTGTTTTGTCAGTGAAGTGCCACAGTGTTTATTTTCAGTAGGTTCCTTAACTGTGAGAGGTTTTCCACCCCTCTTCTCCCTCCCTCTGCTATTGCTTTATATTTTCACACGTGCTTTGGTATTTCATTTGCAAAGCTGAGATACACAGGACAGACCCCTCTGTTCTTTATTTGCATTGCCAAATCACCCCTCGTAGCTACTGGGTGTTTTCCTCAAGATGCAGAATAGCAAGGGTAGCTTATTGTACATCACTTCAAAACTGTTTATATAAATGCAGTGTCTTTAATCCATCTGATTACAGAGATGCCTAGGATTTATTCTGTTTTTACTGTTCTTCAAATAAATTTACCCTTGAAGGCATGGATGTATGGACACTTTAGCCAATTGAAGCTCAAGGAAATATGAATATGTAGTTGAGTTTAACAGCATGAAATACCTAAGTTACTCCTGGACCCTTTTAAGTGCTATTATTACATGCTAAAACTTTTGGATTTAGCAAACATACCTTCTGCCTGCCACGGGCGCTAAGGTTATGATTTTGCTGACCTACATGAGATTGTGTTGCTGTCAAACTAGTGTTGCTAATGGCATGTAGAACTCGTGGAATTAAACAAGTGACTTAAACTAAGTACTTACTGTATTTTTTCTCAATTTGCTCATTGTTGGTGTTTAGGTAAAAAAAAAAAACAAACACAGCAATATTGAGGATTGCTCAATAAGATGGTTTTTGTCCTGGAATTTAAGCAAAGAGATGTTTTCAGTTAATTTGCCATAGGCTTTCTTTAGGTACAAAACTACAATTAGTATAATATGAGTAAAAATAAGACTGGGATTAGTTTAGAATTGATCTTTTTTTTCCTGCTGAACTCATAATAGGAATGAGAGAAGGCTCTTCATGCATGTGCCTGCCAGTCTGTATTTGCTTTGGAAAAATTCAGGAGTTGTGGATTACAAGGACTGCAGGGCATTAAGAGCGTTTTGGAACCCTTTTTTTCTTGGATAAGAGTTCCCAAAGAGCAAATACAATCAAGTCAGTGACTGGACTTGTGGGCTGTCAATACATAGCATTAGTGCATCTATCCTGCACGCTCCTTCAACTTCACTGATAATTGAGGTTTAATTCCTTAGTGATACTAGTAACCATGTGGTGATAGATGCAGAATTCTCATACTGTGAGAATAATTCTGAAGAAAAGAGTATTTCTGTAGTATTTCTGAAGTGTTGCGTTCATTGTGTCAGTCCTTGTTCTGTATGACTAGTTTCCTAATTTGGGAAGTCAAAGGGCTACATAGCCCTTATTGCAGAGTGCCCCAGCCTTCCACAGTCAATAATTCTTAATTTCTTTCTAAGGAATGCTCAATAATGCAGATTTTCTCCATTTGGTATGAATTTTTGATTTACTGTTATTAATATGAAAGCATTTTTAATCTTACTTATCTGCACTGAACAGGAGAAATGCAGATCTGAAGTGCACTCAACATTTTTATAGATGTTCAAAAAAGCTGCACTGCAGGAAAAATATTTGCCCTTTACATATGTGGAGTTGGAATGCAGTGAATCCATAATCCATTAGGAGAGACATTTTCATGATAGAAAGATAAATGCAGAACTAGTGTCTGGTATAGCTTTTCTGGCAATCATCTGTTTCAGTATTGATAGAATAAGTTCTATTTTTACTTGACTACTAAATACAGTGTTCAAGTAATTTTATGAAATGCTACTTTTAAAAACATCCACCATCACCAAATAGGGGAGGAGATGCAAATTTGTGAGCTGCTTTTAACTTTTCCCAAAGATGCTTTGGTATATGGTGAAGTAATCTATAAATGAATGTTAAAGTTAATTGTAAAGGGAGATCAATAGAACTATATACAAAGCTAAAATGCTTTAAAACAGGAAACAGTTATTTAAAGCACTAGTACAGATATAGATTTAAGATTTAGAAACAATATGCATGTGGTCATTCAGGAATTTAAACCCACCATACTCAGTTCAAACACTGCTAAGAGTGTCAGATACTGTCCATATTTAATCGTAAATTTAAAATCCTGGCGTGATATTTTGCTCAAGTTTCCCCCCCCCCCCCCCCCCGTTTTCTTTTTACCCCCTCTAGATTTATGGCACACACCATGGTGCATCTGTGCTGGAAGCTGTCTGTCTGCTTTTTCTTCTATCAAGCTGTCTCAGGAAGAGTCAGGAGGGAGGGGCATTATGTTGCCGCCGTGTATGAGCACGAGTCCATCCTGAGCCCCAACCCCACAGCCCTGGTGGATCGGCGCTCCGCGCTGGAGCTCATGGGCAAGAACCTCGACATCTACGAGCAGCAAGCGGTGGCTGCTGCCAGACAGGTACTGCCACAGCTTGGAGCAGCTGTGAGTGCCCCAGGGATATGTGGAGTAGCTGCTGTTTGAAGACAGGCTTCCACGTTTGTGTTCCCAGGCAACTAAAGCTGTATTTATGTACATAACTGTGGTCTGGGTTTTCAGACACTCTGACCTGCCAGCAGCTCTGAAACAAAAAAAAAAATCAGGCCAGTTAGCATCCCGCCCGGCTCGGGTTATTCCAAGCTTGGAAAAACACGCCTATAGTTATTTAGCATAGGGAAATTAATTTTCTATTTTGGTCTGAATACCTAGCTCCTTTCTGTTTTCTTAAGTGGAATGTTTTCACTGAAAGACTGTCTTACGGGCAGCTGTCTTTGGGGTTGATTTTGTTCCAGTGCTCTCAGTGGAAATTCCTGAATGTTTCTAAAAACTGAGGAAGTTAAATGCTTTGGAAATTAATGTTCCACCATTAACAATTTTGTGGAACTAAAGTTTTCCATTCCTTTATCCTACCCTACCATGGAATGGTTCTCAGTCTAAATATATTTAGAGGATAGAGACTAGTATTTCTGGCTGCTGTTATGCAGAGCACCCTTTCCTTCCCTGCCCGGGAAAACCCAAAGCTGGTGCTGGTCAAAGGAAGCCAGTGTTGCTGTCCCTACACAGAGAAGAGCTGACCTGCAATTTTCACAGATCGGTTGATCTGGGAGAGAATAGTTACCATTTCTGTATAATTTGAAAACATAATTTATTTTTTTTAGACATTCAGATGACTGCACAGAAGCATAATAGCTATTTTTATGTAGCACTGCACCCAAGACCCATGGAGGATCCCAAAGCCATAGCACAGATAATTCATTTGAACTGACTTTTGAAAAGTAACAGGAATTTGAATGACTGATACTGTGACTGATCTAAGAGGAATCCACCTTGTTTTTAGGAACAATTCAGCTCTCCCTGAACTTCAGGTAGACCCAGCCTAGCTCTCACATGGCTACATTTCTACCAGACTCTGCACTGCTTCCACAGTCAAGCTGTTTCTGAAATTAATACTTCCAGTACCCTGTCCAACCTATATACCTAATTTATTAAGTGATACTGCACCCGTGTTTGATACAGGTACAGCATCTTTGACAAAGTTCATTTGCAATCAGCATAATTCTAATTAAAAAATTAAGACAAGTTTTTAACATCATTAGTCTTTAACCTGAATAATGTCATTCTCATGACTCATGTGAAGGGAGAACACTTTTGGCAAGAATTTGGATGAAGTCCTGCTCTTATTTTCATGCCCTTAAAATAATGCCAAACACATTATTTTTCAAGATAAAGGTATGTGTCAGGTTAAATAAGATTTTTTTTTTTAATACACAATTACACCTGCTACATAGTTACACCTAGTATGGAGTTGAAGAAAAAATACTTTGAAGCTGCATTATTGGGAAAACATAGTGAGATTATAGTTAACTTTCTTTAGCTCTTCCTACCCATGAGATCCCCTCTTTTCCTTTGCTTTGCCTGCAAAATATACACTTGTTTTACATACAGGGGGCACAGATCATCGTTTTTCCTGAAGATGGAATCCATGGCTTCAACTTCACCAGGAGCTCCATTTATCCTTACTTAGATTTCGTTCTGCATTCGCGCTCTGGGAAGTGGAATCCATGCAGAGAGCCTTATTTGTTCAATGACACAGAGGTAAACATAGGAGTGATTGATGTCTGCAGGGGTGGAATAACTAAATGCTCGGTTTGTGCTCCACGTGGGAAACAGCTCTCGTTGTTTTGCTTAGGGAAGTAAGCAAGAGGTTTAACAACTCGTAGTACCAGATTTCTGTTTTCACGGACGCTCAGGTTATGCTGGTTTCATTCCCTTTAGATACATACACACAAGGAGACTGGCTTTTGTATGAGCCATCTGGATTTGTCATCTCCTCCTCCCCAACCTCTGAAATGATAATTGCTCTTCTAGTAAGAGGCATTGTGTGTGATTCTATTTTGAACAACACTGTTTTATATCAAACAACATAGTAGTATCTTTGCTTTTGGTGCATTCTCCTCACTTGGGTTTAATGACTTGATGACATCATAGCACCCTGACTCAGTGGTTGGGGGTGGGGGGATATGTGTGTCTGTCTGTGTGTGAAATGATTAGCACAAGTAACAGGACTTGATCTGCTACAATGCAATAGAAGTAACAGCTTGACACAGACCAAGCGTGATTACATAAGATGTGACCTCCATGTTGCAAAAATAGTGTTTTCATTGACTGCTCTGGACCTGAACTGAAAATAACCATGCTTAGTAATACAGACTGCGAATTTTTATTAACCTTACAGTAGCCATTATAATGAAAGACGTCATGCATGTACCTACTAAACAGAATTTGTGTGCTAATATGAATCTCAGTTGTAAGCAATGACCTATTTTGGCCTATGAATCTTTACTACCCCTGATCTTGGCCAAGCAAGCAAGAAGTTGGTTTGCCAGTCAGACCCTGTTTGGAGATTGCAGTACTGGCAGTCTTGGGTCCAGTGCTCTGTGATATGGAAGAACTATCCCAGTAATACTGTGGTCTGTAACATCTTGCATTTCTTTTCTGTAACTATGCAAAGTCTACTCATTTACATCTCTGCTCCTGTAAGTGTAGATAGTAATTGCTTTTTAAAAATTTATAGTAAAAACATCCAGTTGCAGAAGCAAGACATCACAGTTGCAAATGATCACTATTAGAAGTTCTAAAGGCACCCACAGATCAGTTGTGCTGCCTTGGCAAAGCTTTCAGTTGACCTCTGGTGTTTTAAAGCCATTGGTGCTCCTACAAGTCAGAAGTTTCTGAAAATTAACAAACTTGAAATAGAGAGATTTATTTAGTTACTTCTCAGGAAATGAAACCCAGATATTTTTTTTTCAGTTCTATTTTAAAATTAATAGCCAAAATACTTTTCTGTCTACCAAGCTATTGGTTTCAGTAACTTTTGTCACCAAATCATTAGTGCTTTTAAATGTTACAGATATGGTCAAAGATGTTCAATTTTGAACATAGTTGAAAGTAATAATTTGAAAAGTATTAAATAAGTCATAGCTGCTTAAGTAGAACTTATTCCTCCGTATTCTGAAGCGCTTACATTTCTCCATACTGTTTTCCAGGTTATTCAGCGTCTGAGCTGCATGGCACTGAAGAACAAAATATTCCTTGTGGCAAACTTAGGAACTAAGCAGCCCTGTGACCACACTGATCCTCACTGCCCCCCTGATGGAAGGTACCAGTTCAACACCAACGTGGCGTTCGATGCTGACGGTGCGTTGGTAGCCACGTACCGCAAACACAACCTGTATTTCGAATACGCTTTTGATACCCCTCCAGAGCCCGACTATACACACTTTGATACCCCTTTTGCTGGCAAGTTTGGCATGTTCACTTGCTTTGATATACTCTTTTTTGAGCCTGCAGTGAACCTCATCAGACAGTACAATTTGAAACAAATTGTATATCCAACTGCGTGGATGAACCAGCTCCCGCTCTTGTCCGCTGTAGAATTTCAACAAGCTTTTGCAACAGCTTTCAGTGTCAATATTTTAGCAGCTAATATCCACCACCCTACCTTGGGCATGACAGGGAGTGGGATATACACTCCAGTCAAATCCTTCATTTACCACAACATGGAAAGTTATGGTGGCAAGCTCATAGTAGCAGAAATTCCTGTGATTACCAAGGATCATGAAACCAATTTGGAGAGTAATGAAAGATTCAGAGAGAACTTACATGACTCATGCAGGACTTTTACGAGCACCTCGCTGGATGATCAAGTTTGCTTTAAGGAGCAAGAAGAGACTCCTGGCAGAGTATCTGAAAAAGGAAATGAACAGTTACCTCCCCTGTTTTATGCAGAAATGATGTATGACAACTTTACTTTCGTTCCTGTATGGGGGGAGAAAGGAGAGCTCCAGGTTTGTGCCAATACCCTTTGTTGTTACTTAAATTATCGGAGAGCTGTTTTAACTGATGAATTATATGCTTTGGGAGTTTTTGATGGGCTCCATACAGTGCATGGCACATACTATGTCCAGGCCTGTGCGTTAGTGAAGTGTGGCGGCCTCAGCTTTAGCTCTTGTGGACAGGAGGTTACAGATGCCACTGCTCTGATAGATTTCCAGCTCTGGGGAAATATGAGTACCCCTTACATCTTTCCTTTGCTGCTGACATCTGGTATTACCTTGGACTTTGCTGATCACATGGGCTGGAAAAACAACCACTATTTCATGAGCAAAAATAGAACGTCTTCTGGCCTACTGACTGCTGCTCTGTATGGACGATGGTATGAAAAGGACTAGCACAGATCTTTGAGTCAGAAAACAACTGCCCGTATGTTCAAAGTATTTGTCTTAACAGAAGTTGTTGAACATCCATACTTCCTAGAGGTCCAGGTGTGTTTGTTACATGACTCACTGATTAGGTTCCACATTCGAAATGATAAGCAAAGCACCCTAAGAAGCTGTAAGTACAGTCTGTACTGTGGTAGCTTATGTCTTACCAGAAGGGAAAGAACTGCCTTGCAAAGATAAAGGCTTGCTGTAATTTGGTGAGATGTTTTATACTGGGAAAATAACTCATTTCAACTGAATTTGTTCCTTTTAATTTAATCCTTTGGTTTTCTGGTGTTCTGGCTTGGAGTACGGAAATGAATGGAATGGAAAACTGTTGCAAGAGAGAAAAAAAAATAAAGGGAAGGAAGACACAAATACTGTGCATGACATGCATGAAAATATGTAGGTATACACACATACAGTTTGTATGTGCTGAGGTTCTGGTTTCTGGTTAGGGTGCCGTGATTGTTTTTTTTCTTAGAGTCAAAACCTCACAGCTGAACTCCCAGTTTTTCATATGCTTTTAGCAGTATCTGAATGTCACAGTTGTAAACATCCTACAGAGTATCTAAGCTGTGGAAGAAGATATCAAACGAGTGTGAAAAACAAGACTGCAGTAAGACATAATTCCCAAGAAATTATGTTTACAGAAAACATCGTCAATGAATATCAACTACATATGTTATGTACTGTTTGAGTACATTAACTTTCCCTGTTTAAAAGAGAGGTAGGTCATTTCAAGACTGTTTTGACTTTAAGACATCTTAGCTATTGTTTATGAATTTATTCAAGAGGAGTTATGAGGAGCACATAACAAACTGAGGGACAGCAAGGCTTTTACGTCAGTGCTTCCTGTACCAGATGGCAGGTTCGTGCTGCTGAGTGAGGAAAACACACCGTTCTTTTCAAGGGCAATAACTGAAGTGCTGTAACTGTTCTACTGCAGTGAAGAAACTGGGAAGAGAACATTCAAAGGATATTAATTTGGGGTTAAATTCAGACAAGTTAATGCATTCTCAAGCATTATAATTGTATGTGGTCTTATTGGCTGTTATGGCTTCCCCTGCTAATAGCTGTTGAGTAATGGAATAAACACAACTGTGCCTTTGGTCCAGTCCTTGTGTTCCAGTTGCTCTGACTGTTAGTCAGGCCAAGAAGAGCAGAGCACTAACAGGAGACCTGTGAGTCTTCATTTTGGTGGTCTGAGTAGGTTCAAACTCAAATCACTATGGCAGCTACAAGTATGCGTGCTGAGAGGTGCTCCATCAGCTCCTGCTTTGAATGAACTCACTTTCTGGTTTCAGAAAGCAGAACAACTGAAAAATTGCTGAATTTCTACCTCAAGTTTTCTTAAATATTTACAAAGAATTATTATATAAACATTAGTGATCAGGGTGGTCTATCAAACCTTTCTTCTCCAACCTGTATCACTGTGAGTCAGGGTCTTGTTGAACACAACTTTGATACAGAAGCACAATAGGTTTGTTTATCCTGCAGCATATACTGGACAGATACATGGAGTGGGGAATGCCTATGTCTCATCAGGCATAAACTTGCTGATATAAAAGTAGGCCGTTCCACCACAGGGTTATTAAAAGTCATTAATTGTTTGGCACCCATAGTGGTGTTCTTGCTGAAGGCTGCACAAATCCAGGGTGAACAGAGCAGAAAAGAAAAGCATTTGCAGTGCTTATTCGTTCTTCGGGTTCTACTACCACACAACCAAGTCTGAAAGAATGGAACAATGAACAACAGGAGATTTCAGGACCCTCTGCCTTGGAGGCTGAAAAACATGCAGCTTTGTGCACTAAAATACTCCTTGGGATTTAGTTCCAAAGCAGATCATTGTCACAGTAAGGCTAAGGAAGTAAATAGCATTACACATATTTCCTATGCTTAAGGAAAGAAAAAGTATTTATCTGTGAAATACTTGCAAACTGTGTCCCACAGAGCTGTTCTCATTTTGGGTATGTTAAAACTGTTAGAAAACAAGACCTTCTGGCCTTACTGTTTGTGTGGGGCATGTTTCTCTGTGCCCTCCCTGAGAAAAGCAGGCATTAAGTATTAGAGTGTGTTCTAATATCTTGTTCTCTTCACCCAAAAAAAGCAGCCTTTAGCAAAGGAAAAGGTTGAACATACAGTACCAGACACAATGGATTACCAGTGATTATCTACTCACCCATCCATCCTGATCTTTGAGTAACAACAGATGCATCCATTCTGCAATGGGGTGACCAGGCAGTAACCTGTGATGTTCACTGCCACACATCAGTGGCTTTTGGAAGTCTGTGCTGGAGCAGCAATCCCAGCACTGCCCTGTTCCCAAACAACCCTGTATTCACGTGAGTGAAGCTACTCATCACTTACTGAGGAGGTGTGAGAAGTCTTCAGCAGGGCTGACGTTCACACTCGTAACATACTGTAATGCAGCCCATCTTCTATTATCTTTTCAATGGACATAAGCAGTTTTGTTAATGCTCTCTGAACTACTTCTGCCAGACAGTAGAACAAAACTGAACCAGAACATGAGGATCTTTTGACACATCTGAAGTCTAGAACAGCTTTAAATCACTCAGTGTGTCAAATGAAGTGAAATCAGGATTTGAAAATTCATACTGACACCAAAGGAACATCCTTTCTGAGACAGACAGCAGAGGATGGTGTCTTTAAGGGGCCTTGACATTGCTCCTGGGAAGGGAAAGACAACCACAGAAACTGTCTGTCCAGGCAGGGTAACAGCATGCAAGTCAGAGGTGTTGGAGGGTTCCTCATAAGGGATCTGCTGCTTCAGGATTCACAGTGAGTTTTCCAGGTGGATGTGGGGATACTCTGCTTACAGCGAGGAAAAAAACACCGGAAAGCACACCAAAGCAACAGTTGGCAAACAGGACCTTGGAGTTACCAAGAGGGATGTGAACAGGCTGAGGAACCGGTGAGACACTGGTACAGTCTGTTCACAATGCCCAAGTGGACAGAAGCTCCTTTAGGCACATCTCAACAAGTGAAGTGAAAACCCCAAATACGCACAAATTGAAGTGAGTGCTATCACTCCAAGTTTTTAATAAGTCAGCAGCAATGGAAATACTTCAGAGTCACCGTGCTCTCCTTCCTCTCAGCCCTAGGAGAGCAGGTGTAGCCAACACAGGTCAGAACCCAGAGACAATAACGGCACCCTCTGCAGATCAAACAAACTCTTGGTAGAAGACATTAGAAAGGCTGAACTCAGTAAGATGTTAATAGATTCTATGATTTTTAAGAAAACTATGCAGGCAGCTTCAGTAACGAAGTTTGGCAAGGGTCAGAAAATACATGACAGAATAGGACATGAATCATTAAGGTATCTAATCTATTCTTTTAACATAAAAGAACCCCTGAGACCTCAGCCTTAAGCTTTCAGAACTAAGTCAGCTCCCAGGTACAATGAGAAGAAAACCTGCACGACTGTCATTTGACAAGACTTGAAAGCAGGTTTGGTTTTGTTCTGTTCTGTTGTAAATCTGAACAGCGATAGTTCAAGCTGCTTCTATTGCAATTTTAATGAAAAAGAGAATGTGTTTTTTCCTCTTTAAATATTTAGTGACACTATCAATATGAAGACAGCTTGAAAGGCTCTTTAGGTTCTCTATTATTCAGCTATGTTTACAGTTACATGGTGAAAAACTGCAAGGTTTCTTTCCCAACCTCAGCTTGAAAACTGCCAAAGTGCAGCATGGAATGGAGGGAGCTTAGTTTATCCTAACATAAAATAACACAGGGCACACCAGGGAAGCATGGATAATTTAGATACTGCTTTATTTGAGGACAAATACAGTGCTAAAGAAATTGGGATAACAGGTTGGAAATAGCTGCAAGAAATCTTCAAGTACCGCAAGGAGGGACACTTATCTTCTTCCCTTGTCAGGAATGTTCAGTTGCGAGGTGAGTTGTAGAAACTGAAAATTTTAGTCACACTTGCAACTAATTTCCCCCCTGGAAAAGGAAACTGAAACACTCTTGATCTTCTTGGGCTCCAGACAGCTGAACAACTTAATGAAATGCTCTTTCTGAGGCTGCCATTTCAGACCATTTTTCTCTCAGTAGATCTGAGAGGACGCACAGATCAGACTGAGGGGCTGGGTGACACTCACAGTGTCCAGCCAGGCGTTTGCATCTCCTGTTGAGCAGTAAAACAAAGGGATTTTTGTAATAAGGCTTACAGATCATCATAAACACAATGGTAGTATTTTTCCTAAGAACAGTCAGTTATTTCATCATTTCAGATTAATGCACAGTGATGCCTTTGCACTTAACATTCTTCAAAACATACACATATTACAGTGAGAAAAGGACTCCAGAAAAAGTAAGCTGATAGCCAATGCTATCAGCTAACAAAGAGGCCTGCACTCCATCTCTGCACATTTCATTGAATCACAGAATATCCTGAGTTGGAAGGGATCCACAGAGATCATTGGAGTCCAACTCCAATGATCCACAAAGATCACTGAAGTCCAACACATGGGCCCTGCATATGATTACCCCAAGAATCAGACCACATTCCCAAGAGCTGTTAACACCTCAGGTTTCAGTCTGTAAAGTCTGGAGCCCCATGTTTTATAAATTCTTATCTTGTCCAACTTAAGTGTCACAGCTACACACTTACATTCAAAAAAGGTTTTTCAACCTAATCAGAATTCTTCCCCAACTGTCCTGTCAACTTCTGTAGCGTATTAAAGGATTATAAGGAAATCATCACAAATCATTGAGATTACTACAAGAGGCAATAACTACCTATCTTGGATTTAAGGATTTATATGAATTTCCTCGACCAACTTTAAGAATTTAAATACTCACTTTTTCCTGATATTAAAATGAATTTTGCTGAGATTAAATCCAGATCTGTGGAGGTAGCGTTATAAGTTTAAACTACTTATTAAGAGATTATAATAAAGGCCTTTCTCTCCAACATTATTAGTTTGATTCCAAGCAGGACAGGATTATCAAGAATTACTGTCTAAAGGAATCAGTGCTTTTTAACCAGAAGTGCCATGGCATTTCCTTTTGGAAGTGGGTATGTACCATCACCAGAGGCCCAGAATAAAGTGGTGGGAGATGAGGAGAGTCCTCCTGCCAGGTCCTCCTGCTGCTCCTGCAGCTGGAGCAACAGAAGCCTGTGGAGCTCCCCTGCCCAGCTGGTGGTACACTGAGCCAAAGAGTGCGGCCTCCAGTTCTCCAGAACTGCTGTGTCCGTAAACACTTACCCTTTTTATTTAGGTTTCAGTTTTTTAAGATGTGAACTTCACTGATCCAAACTCATATGGGCTCCCTGGAGACATCTAGAAGTGTTTAAAATGTCCCATGATTATGACAAACTTCTCACAAGTAAAGGCTAACCAGTTCTTTGTGCAGTATTTAATGTTGCTTACGATCTTTCTATAGGATGATCCTCTTACCCAGCTACTGAATGATCAACAGAAAGGTCATCACTTTTTTTTTTTTTGCATAAGAGAAGCTGAGCTACCAAAACAGTTGTCTTATCTCCAACCAGCTGCATTTAATGAACATTTTCTTAATTTTTTTTGTAAACTAGAATGTAAATAGAGCATGTTATTCTGGATTACTACGGTAGTTGTCTTTAAATTGACATCATATCTGGGCAAAGGAAGGTTAATTCCTCTCAAAACCAGAATTTATTTGGTTGGAGAATCTACAAACATTATCTCATGCTTCTTTTTAGTCATCTTCCCTCCAGCTTTGGTAACAGCTTTGGTATCTTCAGTGCCCTTTTTGTAGATGTCAAAAGGAGCAAAACTTTGGATTTAAATATTAATTTTTTTTCAACCAAACATTTGTTAATTCTTTAGCCTGACGGCTGAAACCAGGACATAGACAAGTCAGAATTTTAAACAAAATATACAACCAGAAAAAAACCTGAAACAAGTGCAACCAAAATCTAAGTTTAAAAACTGCTTATTTCTAGCTCTGATTGTTCCACATATATTTACACAAATATTTTGGAGACATCTAAGCATGTGAAGGTGATAAAAAGTAAAACGAGGAAATACAAAACAGGAGACACAGAAGTCGAGATTTTATAAGGAATTATAAGACAGGAGAGTTACTCTCGGGCATGCATGTGGGGGCAAGACAGACTGATTCCTTTTATCAGCATCCAGCATTTATGCTGCAACACAGCACTCTAAAAGTAACAGCTCAGACTGTGAGGTTAATAATTACTAACTGACTTGGCATTTTCTTCTGCAGAACATTTATCCTGAGAACTGAAAAACCCATAAAACATCCCAGAAGTCAGAATACACAGAGCTGAGCTGAGCAGAGCCAGCTGTCCTCATTCCTGGAGTCCATTTAATTTTTTTTCCCTCCAGGACAAAAAGAGTTTATTTTATTCTGATATATTGCTTTAATGGTCCAGCCAAGGCTCACTGTTCTCCCTTGGTGAAAATCCAAGAGATTGTTTGGATAAAGGCTGTAAGACTAACTGTCCCATATTTGTCTGTACAAAATGAGCAGGGTTTCTTTTAGAAAAATTGAGGCTCCAGTATAATTTTCTGGAAATGAAGAGGCCTCCAACTGAGGTATGAACACTTTTTTTTTTTTTACCCCTCCTCCAGCCACCAACACCATTATTTGCTTTTCAAAACAAGGAACCTCCTGTTCCTTGACCTCTCGTTAGGAAAGTGGTCTCTGACCACAGAAGCATGGTCTTTAAACAAATCACATTCCATTTTTGGAATTAGACCATTTTATGATAATAGTCTCAATTATCACTTACAAGGCACAATTACTGTCCTACCCATACAGCCAGGTAGTAATGAAGTTGTTTGTTTTAACAAATACATGCAAATTGCAATCTACAGGCTCACTGAGTAAATTGTAAGGATGAGATAGATAAGATACAAAACCATCTAATTCTGAATCCCTAAATGGTCTTAACAATTTGCAACAAAAAAAAAGACAGATATTTAGCTCTAAAAGTTCACAAAACCCAACTTAAAGAAAAAATGCAATTTAACACAGAGAAATGGTTTTCTTCCCCAGGAGGTGAGTAGCAATGAACCGAAAGAAAGGCACAATTTCTGATCGACCTAAGGAAACAAACATGTTCAACAGCACTGTTTCCTGCATTTCCCTGTATTCCATATCCAAATCTTTGATAAACAAACCAGTGCCATCTGAGCCTTTTCTCCTCCAGACACACAGTGGACATGGACAGCTCAGCCTCTACTGCACTGCTAATTACCCAGTAAGTCTGGAGTGTTCCCTCCTATAAAGTTCCCTATGGATACAGACACCATACACTGAGCTAACAGGTCATCTTGGAGTCAGAGGTCAGCATAGATAATCAAGGCCTAATAATTATCATCTTCTCACAGTGCCTTTGAATCAACAAAATTCAGACAGTTTCACGAACAGAAATATGCAGCTGTTTCCTTTTAAATAACACACTGCTTGGTGTTCTCATCCAGATTTCCCACGAGCATATGAAATAAAAAACGGGTCCACGCTGCTTCAACCTTTGAATTTAAATAGTTACAGTGAATCTCATGACAGGCCAATATGGATCTTCTGAGTGCTGCCTGCGTGCCCAGCTGAGGCATGTACATCACTGCCACACAGCCACACATGTGAGATTCAGAGGGAAGAACGCACAGAAATCACGACCTCCCTGAAGTCATCTAATTCTGCTCACAGATAAACATATTGCATATATAAACAATGAACACAGGCACAAATGGTTAAGAAAGTAATAATTAAAAGGAAGCTTAAAGGAATAATGAAGTAATTTAACATTTAAAATTACTTTAAATAGCTCACCTTCCTTTAGAATTGAAATGCTGGCAAAGCCTTTGTGAAGCAGATTTTATAAATTCTAACATTTCGACAAGAGACTTTGTCATCAATCCTTAGTACATGCAAATAAATTATTCATTAGTAGAACTCAAATTTGGGTTTTATTATAATCTATAAAATATACAGGATTCTTGAAGTACTGAAAGAGTGCAGGTAAATACAGTATTCAAGCAGTCACTATTTCTATGTACATGCTCATTAATTCTTCAAAAACCCCACAAAATTATCAAATAGATCAAAATATTGTCCCGTGTTTCTACACTATGTTCAGAAAAGCAGCTGTAATTTACAAAGTTTTCCAGTTTTACAATACAAAAAAAAGGATAAAAATGAAATTGGAATCAGTTTGTAGTAATTTATTTGTACTTAGCCAGGACATGCAAGGATTCCTTGCATGTACATAAACAAATTCACTTGAAAAGTAACAGTTATAGTTAAAGCAGAGCCAAATAAAGTAAATATTCATATTTAACAGACAAAACTTCAGCTTACTTATGTCAGTTTTTCATTCTTCAGGCAATTAAAAAAAAGAGTAGTCTGTTATAAATTAAAAAAAAATATTTGGGCAAGTCTGAACTACATTAAGGGACCTGTTTCTGCTGTTTATTTTCTAAATGGAGCACAACAAAGATACACAGCTCTTCCCACAGACCAGACACTGTACTTTTTTCTCTAATAGGGAAATATACTTTAAATTCACCTCCCCCCACACTTTGTAACTCTGGGATTAAAAAAAAAAAAAAAAAGGTGATAAGGATATACAATTTTTATCTTACATACAAATTTATGATGTAAGGAAGTGGATAAATTATTGAAAAGAACTCTCAGTCACAACAGGGTTATCAAGACATTTCAATTTGTTTTACGCAGTTTCATAGTTTCCAAGTTACTAGTGTATTTTTTAAATTAAGAAAAATCTCAATCCAAAACCCAAGTTAAAAAAACCCTAAAACTGTGCAACAATTACTGCTTCCCACTTCCCTCCCACGTCTCCCACCCCTTCCCTTGTTTATTACACTGTACATTTTTCACCCTGACTTCACCTTGTTAGCTGGTTTAACTTCAGTATTATAAAAGTATGACAAGATCATTTTCATTTCATCTAAACGAAAAAGAAAATAAAACTTAAAAGTACATCTGCTTTCTTTCATGGTACATTTAATAGTGTCGGAAGGCTTTCAGAGAATTAAAAAAAATAAAATTCAACATTTAAACCCAAATCTAAGCTTCTTTTCCAGAAGTAATTAAGGTTTGGTTGAAACAACTTCTCAAATAACCTATTCCAGTTTTCACAAAAATTTATTTAATTAAAAAAATCTTTAAGTTATTTGGTCCTTTGGCAATTTGCAGCACAAACAATGCCTACTGTACCAAACTCATTTATTGCCTTCAAAATGGTTTTAGTTTTACTGAGAATATTTAAATCAAGCATCCTTTGTGTTGAACAATAGTGTTGTTCATTTACATCAAGTCGGGTGCCCAGTCTGCAGGAATTACTCCCGGCACCAGAAACAGAATGGTATTAATACAGTTAAATAAAACAGTTTTGACATTCTTTTTTTTTTTTTTTTTTTTTTGCCATGGATTCCAAGTACTTATTCAAGAATTCATGCTTCTTCTGCAAAATATGCTCTTAAAAATCTTCCTAGAGTCTCACAGATTTTTTTTTTATGCAACCACAATAAAAACATCTTCTCAAAGGCCTGTCCTCTTTCTGTATTGAAACACCAACAGCTTTCCGAGAGCGCAAGTCTGACCTTCCAGCGTGAGGGTTCACTCCTCAGACCTACAAAATGTAGCTTCTAATACGTCTCAGAATCTGAGTCATTGAGCTCGTCGTCTTCTGTATACGGATAGCCACCTTCCCTGCCAATGTTGTTAAAAGTACAGTAAGAGCTGTGGTCACTCCTCATGATTGGCAAGGAATCAAAGGTGACAGTTTTTGAGGTGTTGGTGTAATGATTAATGGCATTGAAGGTAAGGGCAGGTAATGTGCTGCTTGATGAAACAGGCATCATGGTGGCCAGAATGAGAGCCAGGCAATCGGCCACATCCTTGTTGGGAGCGCAGGCCAAAGCCGGTGTGTAGCCTAGGAAGTCAAGAAAAAGCAAAACCTTCATTTAAAACAAAGACAATGCAAAAATTTCTCCAAGATCATATAATCTTTCAGCTGTAAAAGTATTTTATATTGCTTAGTTTCACACTGTTTAAAAAATAAAAAAATTGAATGCATTATCAATTAGAATTTTTAAGCTTCTGGTTACAAAAACAAGCTTGAAGTTAATGGGCTTTGCAACAAAGATATAATTGTTTTGTTAAGCACAGTCAGGTACTTTAGGCCAGCGAGAAAAGCCTGGATCTGAAAACAGTGAGGAAGTCACCTGGCTGAAGAGAGACAAGTAATGGCAGCCAACAGTGGGTGAAGGCATTCACTAAAGACCCACTTCAGAAAACAGAGCTCAATTTCTTAAATGTTTCTTCATCCAGAAGCTTCCACCACAGCTGCTTGTCACAGACAGTTAATTTAATAACACTGCCTTATCTCAGTAACAAGCTGGCTAAAGCAGCAGGAACAGTTAATTGAAAAGGCAGAGTATAGACGGTCAATTAACCTATACTTTATTACAATATACAGTAATGTAAACTATAAAACCAAAGCCTAACTTTATTTTGCAGGATATCAGTTAAGAAATCCACAGAAGTCTGAGGAAATGCCAGCTGGGTTAGCAGACCGGAACATGCAGACACCTCTTGGTTGTCCAGCTGGTCCAGACAAACTACTGTGACAACTCCCAAATGCAAGAGGTCTCAGGCCATGGAATGACCTGCAGTCAAGTCACGGACAGCTGTGACATCTCTTCTGGGTAACCATGGCTCTAATAATCCTCAATACTGCTTCTTCTGCAGCTTCCCCCTTTCCCTATGTACTTGCCTCTACTCATTCAGTGTCAAGAACAACCCTTGAAACTCTCCTCAGTGGAGATCCGTGCATTGCTCCTGTCTCAGGCTTAACCATTCAGCACGGCACCTGAGGGTAAGTTCTGGCACAGGTCTCAGGTGTATCCATAGCACGAGCCACCACAATTGGTGGTGTCACAGGCAGCTCTAGAAGCAGGGTAGTCACGTATGTACAACCACATTATTCTCCTGATAAGAAAAGTTCCCTCTCCCTGTCTCCACCCTGCAGTGTGTGCCCAGATTATCCAGCAGCACCTCTGCAGCATCTCCCACTGTGTGCGACAGACGTGCCTACAATGAACTCAATAGGAAGATGCATGTTCAGGTACGTGTGGGAGTCTGAAGTCCTGTGCATTATCCCCAGTCCCTAACTTAAAGGTGTATAACATCCAAGTAAAAAGCACACAAGTAATTTTAATTAATAGATGGCTTTAAAAGCAAAGTGCATGATGGACTTCTATCCAGACCTTAGGAAGGCATGGGAAACAAGGCAATGCCTGTTCTACCAACAAGTGTTTCAACTACTAAGGAATCATCTTTATTGTAGAAGTAGATCCAGGTCAGGTTTTAGCATAGAGCTTGGGAGCAGTTATTGTATTAAACAATTGCACCTAAGTTTTAAAGAAGTAGACACACTATGGAAAATAATTGTAGCTAGAAATTCAGAAAACAGCAAGTAGGGGAGAGTCTTGCAGTTGAACTACTATTTGCCCAGGACAGACCTTGTGCTTGATGCTTAGAACAGAGCAAGACAACAGTCCCTGCCCAAAGGAGCATACAATCCAAGGAAACACAGATAATTCAAGCACAAAACGCACCAGCTGACCATGCGATAGGGCCGTACAGAAGTGCAGCGCAGCAGATGTTTTCATTGTTAGTAAGGTACCACAGCACTTAAACAGCTCAGAGTTAACAGTGACAGTCTGCAGAAGAGATACATTTTGAGAGGATTCAGAAGCAAGGGCCAGAGCTCGCCACACTTGGGTGATGACTGCATTTCAGGCATGTAAGGCAGAACAGAAGGCTCAGAACTGATACTCAGATGCACACCATTTAATATCTACAATTGCTGGAGGTTGTATGAAGGTAAGATGACACAAAAAATAAGTTTATTCCAGTTGGTCACATTAAACACCATTTCTTTCCCTAATGTAATTTGATAATAGTTTAAAGAAGAAAAACAAGCAGTCATCTGCTACCTTTTTAGCTTCTTTTTATTTGGCTCCCTCCCCCCCCCTTTTAAAGACTGCTAAGTTTTTGAATACTCATACTTACGTTCCTTCTGGAACAGAGCATCCCAGTTCATCATAAAAAGGGCCAATGTAAAGATCAAACAGAATACTTGCTTTTGTTACAAGTTCTTTGTTCTCTAAAAACTGTGTTTATATTAATATTCAATTATAGGTCTTAAGCTCCTGGCTTTCATAAACAGGAATGAAATATCACAGTTTTATTCTTGCCTTACACATAGCTTGCACCACGAAAGACTGACATCTGTGTCCTCTACCACTTTATTTTGGCCTATATTAATTTAATGTACAAGAACAAATTACATTTTTACGTCACTTAACTGTAAAATGATCATTCATATCTCAGAGCAACAATAGCTATAAATAAATTTGCTTTTAAGAATATGTTGGTAAACGTACTGACTCCATTGAAATACTCCTACTTGATTCTGGTATAATGTTCCCCATATTCTGTACTTGTTGTACCTGCATAAGCCTTCACAGAAAACCAAAACTACTATCTTCATTTGTAGATAGGGCAGTAGAAGCAGAGTGAGCTGAGGCAGCCTCCTTGCACAACAGAAAACTGAGCCTGCGTGATAGACACCGAATTAAGACTAGGGCTCCCCCTGCCCAAACACAGAGCTGCCCCCTACCCTAGGGCTTGAAAGTTTCCATGAAGGCACCTACAGGAAAATCAGAGGCTTATTAATGCAGTCAGTGCAACGAGAGTTCCCAAGATAAACCCAAGGAAATGTTACACTGGAAAAGAGATGAGAGTCTGAGGCACGAGTCATCTTGTAAGCACTCACAGAAAAATTCCTTCCAGAAAACTGGAACTCCAATATAAACTAGAATACAATGCTTGGAAAAGAACTAGACAAAAATAGACAACAAAAACCCCAACACCCAGAAAACCCCCTAAAATCCAAACCACACCCCCCCTTTTTTTTCCAGAAAGCTTGAAAGGCCAATGATAACTGTAAAGATGAATCTAGAAAGAGAAACCTCCATACTATGGAGTCTCCAGAGAATGCCTCCTCTCACTGCTCTGGTGCACATGCATATGACAAATAGAAGACAGATTATACCAGGAAATATAGCTAGCCTAGAAAGTTAAATAGTCAGGGAAAAACCCATTACAGAACAAAAAAACCCTGAAAAGTAAACTTACAAAAATAATGTCAAATTCAACAGTATTTTGCAGATGCAGGTGATCTCAGTTTCATCATGACTGGTGTGGAAACATGGGAAAAGAACTGAAAGATGTGAATAAGAACTGATACAGAACTGAGAATAAACCCTCAACATGACTGCTTTTGGAAAGTATACAGGACAGTAATTTGCTTTTTTGGTTGCATTTATTCTTTTAAGAACCAAGAGGATTAATTTTTTCCACTGACATTACTTCTTAAACCCAAGTCATCTCACCATACTAACAAAAGCAATGTGACTTCAAATCTAGAGTTTTAAATATCTTACAAATTATTTATAAACTCAAATGCAGGTAATTGGAGACACGTTGTTTTTTTTCCAAACTCATATATTTCAACAATGATCTATAGCTCAGATCCAGCAGCAGAGGTCTCAATTTATACAGCTGTAGATACAAATAAAGACTGCTTGCAAAAAGTCAATGCAGCTCTTACAGAAAGGGACAATTTCAAAGACAAAAAGTGGATCATCACTCCATAACAACAAAGGTCCTACTGGTTACATGTTCCATATATCAAGCTACTCTTCCATATAAAACACTGAAACTTTCTAAAATTAAAACTAAATTACTATTTAATCTAATTCTATCTGAAATGCCAAACTTGTGTGGCAGATCTCTGAACTTATCTGGACTATGCTAAAGTAAGAGAATGTCAGTGCTGTGATCCAAAATATTCCAGTGCCTATTTCTCCAGTCAGAAAAAGAATTCCTGGTAAATATTCTCAAGGTTGCTTAAAATTTTATAAACAAAGCAATTGCTAATAGAAAGAAAAGAACCACAGTGAAAAAAAAGATAACACTCAGTTACTTTAAAATTTAAAATGTGAACAGAATTAAAAAGAAGATTTTTAGATTTCCAAGCTGCCAGAGAACTTTGGCACAAAAAGACACAAATGTTTTTCCTGTTATGTCAAAGATCCAAGGGATCTTTGTTTTACAAGGGACTGGCTGGTTGCCATCAGAAGCCCACAAAAATGCAAACTTCTCCAGTCAGCGTACATGTGATAAGAAACAGAAATAAAAAAAGATATATTTTCCAGTCTTTTAATTTTAGGGGGTTTCGTTTAGCAGTTACTTCTGTTCCCTAATTTAGGTAAGGATTGATCTTTAAGTCACCCATGTGACTTTACGCAGTGTAATTTGAGAAACACACAACGAAAGTCACAGTGAGCATTAAGAGAGGAAAAACTTCCCAAAGTGTAAATATCATTAGAAAAATATTAATTAGGCACATGCCTGCTGGGAAAAAACAACACAAAGCAAACAAAAAACCCAACAAAAATCAATCCACTCCCCAGTCCCACCTACAGCTTTCATTTAAGACACACTGGAGTGTGGCATAAGAGACGGAGCTCCCACACTTTTAAAAGAACAGTTTCTGAGGACCACAGATGTCTTACATGAAAATATGCAAATTAGTCAGTAGACCTAATTTTATTTTGTTCTTACAAGGTGTATGATTTATTCTCATGATAAAACAGTTAATTTTCCTTACTTCTATGTGCCAAAAAACTCCAAAAAGCCAGAAGCTTGAGACCAGTAAGAGAGAGTTGTTAATCATACTTGATACTTGCTTTCAAAAGCTAACCCTGATATATACCTCTTGTGACAAAATGAATAGCAATTCAATCCAGCTTAACAGCTGAGAGTTATATTTTACTTTGAAGGTTATGTTTTTGTGACCATTTTCAGTATGCCAAAGCCAGTGCATTTCTAGGTGCATCATAAAACTATAAATGCAAACCAAACACTTCTCGGTCATGACCTGCATAGTTCTGGAACGTTTTCACTATCCTTATACTTCTGCTACTTGGCTAACATGATCCATCACCAATGCATTCTCTTCTTTAGAAGACCTACTGCAAGGCTCATATGAAATTTCCACAGTTATTGCTTTTCAGGGAGTTGAGTTTAGAACCACAGTTCCTTACAGGGAAACAAAATTAAATTTTTCTTACCATTTTCATCTACAGCAAGTACACTTGCTCCCTTCCCTAAAAGCTCTTGAACTACAACCGTTAGTCCATTTCGAGCAGCAACATGCAGAGGTCTGTGAAGACAAGCAAACTCTTATATAAACCTTAGAACAAGTTATTAAGATAGGTAGCTAGCATCTAGTTAGATGCAGTACTTAGACTCCTATGTTATTCACACATTATATAATATCATTGATATAATAATTCAGGTGGGAAAAGCAGACAATCTCTTTTCTTATTGCAAAGAAACTACAAACTTTCTTCTTTTTATGGCAGCACACAGAGAGGAAGCAGCTGCTAGCGAAGACCTGCCTGTTTATGGACTTTATTATGTTAAAATGTCAGAAACGCCTCACACCCTACTGTTGATAAATCCTTCACTCAACTGTTGTAACAGATATTTTCAGATCTGAGAGTTACTGCATATCACTGGCATCAATCACTAGAACCCTAACAGTAGACTAGTAGTCATATTTTATTGCATGCAAATGCTTACAAGAGATAGAAAAGCATTTAATCAATCTGCCTTTTAGAAACCACTATATTCCACTGGGATTAGAGATAAAAAAAAAATTTCACAGTATAATGCATGAAGCAAGAAAAGCAGATTACTTTTCAAAACTTCGAACTATTAACCATAAATCAATTTTGTGTTGACTTGATCTATGAAGGAAAGTGTAGCTTTATCTCAAATATTCTATTATATCTTTTTTCAAATGCAAGTTTTTCAAAATTGCTTCCCACTGGCTTAAATAGAACCCTACCACCACTCAGCAGGAAACAGAATGAACAGCTTACTTCCCCTCTGCTTCACTCATTCTCAGATTCTTAAAGTTGTTCAAGTTAACTGTGAACTATATTTTGAGTTGGAAACAAGTGCGTTACCTAGAGATCAGAAATGTAAAAGATACAAATAGGAGCAGCTGTATCTATGGTGCTTACAATAAAATATCAAAATTTCAAGAACTACTGCAGATATACTGACAAATGTACCGCAATTAAAATAATTTTAATATAGAGAGCAACAATTTTAATTATTATCTTGCCACAAAGGAGGACTTAATGTTTAAGTTGTTCAGAAAGTCAATTTAGTTATTAAACATTTGCTAGAGCAGTAATATTTTAAACATCTGTTAAAACCTTGCAATTTATATAAACATTTCATGGAGGTGCAAATGTGTACCTATTTTCCCCCACAACATCTCTTGATCAGAGCCAAGGCACATGGGTGGAATTACAAGAGCCTGTGGTAGCATACTTTCCCACTTCTGTTCTCATCTCATTTTTGCTTTTCCTTCCCTCGAGACATCCTTGCTTCAAGCCAGAAAGAGGCAATCAATCCCTTTCCTGTTTTCTGGTTACTTCAAGCTGCCTGAGGTGCACCATGGTGAGCAGCAGAAGCAAAGGAGGGAGTCTAAGTTGAACCTGAGATCTGCTTGAACTCCTTAGTTCAAGCAGATCTCAGGGAATAGTTGGAAGAACTGTAGGAGTTTGAGTAAGACAAGATTCCAGAAGGGACGTAATGCCAGAATAATATGCGAGTTGCTTACAAGTTCCACTGTTGTTTTTTTTTCCCTAAATGGTCTGTGATAGAATTATTGAAGCAGCCTGACAATTCACATGCCTAACTTGACTACACATGAGGTGTCAAGTATTGTCTGTAACACAAACATATTCTCCAAAATGAAAACACACAGAAGAGTCATTTTAATAGCCCATCCTTATAGGTATGACATACTATACATTTCTAAGCTTTCCTTATGATTTGGGCTAACAAAATAGGCTTAATTCCACTTGAGAGAAGATCTTTAGGAAGGTTTAGGAATAGTGTATTCTCCATGATATTTAATAGTAGTGTTTCATCCTCAAAACATGAAATAAAAACCATGCTGAAGAATAAAAGCATAGTTCAGATAGTTGTTTTTTGTTTGTTGTTTTTTTTTTTTTTAAAGTAGCTGTCTTTGAAGACCAAGTCTTAGTTTGCCTTGAATGAGTTGTTAACTGAGATGAATTGTAATTGAAACATTGGATAATTTTTAAAATAGAAAAATATTGGTTCACAGGTTATCTCAGTGGATGGCAGTAATTCCACACAGGAATCACAAGAATGTTTTCTTTATCATCCCTTTCACCCATCTGAAATTGGAACTTTAAGTATGAGCAAAACACCGTTTCAATTCCAAGTCAATTCAACTTTTGGTACCTGATAAACAATTAAAACTCAACCAGTTTGGGAAAAAAAAAATCTGAAAAATATTCCTCTTTATGAGCAAGATACACACCAAGAACTCATCTTTAAAATACCCTCACTGCTGATACGTACGTTTGCAAGGCTGCATTGGTGGCATTGATGAGGTTTCTATCCGTAATCTTCTCCAGTATTAACAAGGCACTAGTTTCATGACCCTTAACACAGAACAAACATCTGTCATATAACAAATACTCTTCACAAATTGCTTTGAATGCTTTTTCAAAGTAGGAGGATTTTCAAACAGTGCTTGATAACACAAAATGCACCACCGGTACACGTCAGACCACACACACCTTGCTGCAAGCCAAATGGAGTGCTGTGTTCTTAGAACTGTCTTGCAAAGTCAGATCAGCCTTAGCACTGCTAACCAGCACCTCTGGGGAAATAAAGATTTGTATTAACTAAAAGCATATTCCTTAAAATATAAATGGCTCACATTTGTGCAAAATGACAACAAAATTTTGACCAGATATGTTCACAGGAAGGTTAACTATAAGGCTACTTCACCCATAGTAAGATTAACAAAGCTAAGAGAAGAAATATATAAAGTTTTCTCTTTACCAACTGTATTCGTCTGTCCATTTTCTGCAGCCATCATTAAAGGTGTTTTCCCAGAAGAATCTACAGCATTTACTTGAGCACTGTGACCAAGCAGAAGCTGTAGACACTCAACGTGATCTGTAAAAGCTGCTGCATGCAGAGGAGTTCTACAACAGATCAAAAGACAGTATGGCCATGTTCAGCCATGCTTTCTACTTTATTCAAAGGGACATCCTGACTGAGATCCTACAAATACAAAGGTCTGGGCAGTCCCTCCCACTGATCTTTTGGAATCAGTATTGCTGGAGTTGTGACTGCTGCCTTTAGAAAATCACCTTCTCATTTCAAATAAATCCCCCCCATGTAGTTTATATAATAGAGATATAATTTGATTCAGAAAAATTAAAAGACGCATAAAATGATATCCATGAAGTGATACAATTTAAAACATGCTCTGACTTGCCTGTATAATAAAAAGCTAATTCAAGTTTATTAAATCAGAACAGGATTTTTAAAAATCTAAAATTTATTTCTAGCACAGAATAATAAGAAAAAACACCTTCAGAGAATAAAATCAGGGGAATGAGGAATTAACATAAGTAGCAAATACAAAACCCCCAAATGATTGAAGACTTTAGCACAGTGTATGACATTACAAACATTCTTTTGTGCATTTATACTCTTACCTTCCTTTTGAATCTGTTGAATTTACAATACCAGCACCTAGTGTATCAATTAACATTTCTGCAGCACCTTCATTGTCATTTATCCTATAATGAATTAAACAGGCTGTTATTTACAGAATGATAAATCTTTTGTTAAATACAGTAAAGAAATTTATGAAGAATAATTTTACACTTCCTTACACAGCACAATGCAAGGGACTGAAAGAATTTCCTTCCATTTTCTGAAAGATTTCCTGTTCCAGGAGCAGCTCTACACAACTGTCATGACCTAAAGCAAATGTAAGAGTTAAGTATTACAAAAAAGGGAAAAGGTATAATGATGGATTACAACAAAAAAAAGATACCTAAATTAGATTAAGCAGCATTTTATTTCAAAGTTTCTAAGAAAGACTGGTTATATTCAACAGGGCTACGGTAAGGAACTAAGATATTTTTAGAATCCTGAAAATCAAACTGACATTTAACACTGTAAACTTTATGAAATTTAGAAGGTATCTCATGACGTCTGAAAAACATCCAGAACACTTAGTTTAATTCTTTACACCTTTGAATTTTAGACTCTTCTGTACATTCATCACCTTGTCCACATGAAAACAACTCCACCATTTAAAGTTTATTTTTGTTCCACTGACTTGTTAAACCCAAACAAAAATGAAGTTGATAGTCATAACAAAATCTTAAAAAGAACATGTTCAACCCCTCATACTAATATTTTAAAAATTCTATACCCTGCTTCTGGACAGGCAGCTAACAATGGTAACTATTTGTTCGACCTTAGATGCATATATACAGAGTACCTTAGTTCAACATTCACTGATGTCTAAAGATTTGAATTTTCACAAGTCGTGTCAAATTTTCATCCTACAAATCAAGCATTTCTCTCAGTTCTGTTTTATTCAGAGATTGTTGCCACTGTTAAAATGGACCAAGTTGCAAGATTTTAATTTTATGAATGTGATAGAGATGTTATTTTAGTTCAAAGTATCACCCAGCTGCATCAGCTCAGTAGTTATTATTAATAATTGGAATAAACCCTTGCTTCTTAATTTTTCTCTATCATGTCACTCAGAGGCGAAATAAATGACAACCTCTACTACGTCAGAAATGAACACACAGAACAAAATCTTTAGCAAAGGAGCTGAATGAATTTCCTACCTTTTAAGGCCTCCCTCATTCTCAAATCCATGAAAAGTATCAGTGAAGAAAAAAATAAATTCTTATTCAATCACTTTTATATACTTTAGCTTCTTATGCCTATCATGGTTGATATGAAGCAAGTTTAAAAACAGATTTAATCTGAAAATATTCCTCCCAAGGCTCCCTGTGAAGGTTATGTTTTTGGGATGTGTGGCCCATTTCTATTGAAGGGTACTATGCTGAATTCCTTGAAAAACTCCCTGAGGCATAAAACTAAGAAGATCGTATATAACAAAAATATAGGACAAAAATAAACATCTCTTATTATGTATTAGATGTTAACACGTTCCTCTTCAAGATACCACATCTGTCATAGTCTCCCACTGAGTAATACAAACGGAAGGAGGACAGACTTTATATGTTGCTTTTCTACGTAGTAATAACTTCTACCTCAGTATAAACAAATACATTTAGAGCCGTATTTTAACTGGGCTGTACGTTACCATTATAGCAGGCCCAGTGCAGTGATGTGTAGCCGTGATTGTCTGCTATTGCAGGTACTGCATCCACAGATGTCGCTGACTGCAGGAGAGCTCCCAGAACACCTATGTGGCCACATGCAGCTGACAAGTGTATCGGGGTTCGTCCCCTACAGTCTCGTAGTAAGGACTTAGCACCATGTTGAAGCAGCGCTTCCACACATTCCTCATGCCCAGTAACTGCCTGTGAGAGGGAGAGGAAAGAGCGAGGTGGAAATTATTCATATATATAAGCCAAGGTGTATAACTAAAGCAAGCAAACCTCAGGCAAATGCTTGCATTTTTAATTAATAACAAAATAAGTTACTCTTAAATCTGAAAACTGCCATTCTTTTGGAAAAACAGCAATGTATTGTAATATTGAAGACAGAATATTTTCTTGGAATAACATGGAATGAACTGCTAATCTCTAGGGCTCATTCAATTGTCTTATCTGGCAGAAACTATAAACAAAATATTTGAAATATGGCATGCATCATGCATTTCTTCCTCCCATGAACACTAACTCCCCACCCTCAACAAAAAGCTGTAGTCTAGGACCTCTCCAGTCAACATTTTACAGAAAGATTAAGAGACTCTAGAATTACAGAAGAATTCTTGAGGGTAGGGTGCAAACAGGCAAAACCTAGCCTTTTGAATGCAACTAAAAAGACGATTAAAACTAAAAATGGCAAGATGAGAATAATGAGAAATTCATTACTACCACATATTAAGTCTGTACTTGAAATTGGTATAGATAAAACTGGAAAAAAAAGAGAAGGAATATTCTCTTACCCCTCTATGCAATGCCGTCCTTCCCCACTTATCTTTGGCATCTACATTTGCTCCTTTGTTAAGGAGTGAATAAACGCAATCGGTGTGCCCGTTGAGAACTGACAACATCAGAGGAGTCCTAAGCAGAGAGCAAAATACAGTGTAATCTACCTGGAAATGGAATAGACTAGCACTCAGCTGAACTGTAACAACTACTATCCTTCTGGTCAACGTTGTTAAAATTCACGTCATGAATGATCTCCTCTGGCACTACCTTCACACTGAGAATGCCAGTCATTTGGTTTTTTGATTCAAGAAAATAAACTGATATCCCCTAATTGAGAAGTCCTGATTCAGTTACTAGAATCCATTTTCTCAGCATCTGGGCAATGAGACACGTTTCAGTTCCCTCCCAGATGAACATTTTCACTGCCAACTTTATGTTTATTGCAATACACACAGTTGTATTTGTCCAAATTAAAATATAATCTCTCTTTAAAATAATAAATTAAAAAATCGCCACTGTTAAATAAATATTTAGTTTGTCCTTTTATAAAATGCCATAACTTGTGAAGAACGGAATGTCTGCCATTTAAACTCACTGTCCATTTCCATCTTGAATGTCCACTGCATTCTGTGGTTCTGCATTTCCTATCAATAGCCGCAAACATTCTGAATGACCATTTGTAGCTGTAAAACATTATGAAAATAAGGGGTTTACATTAGTTGTCTTTGAGTAGATGGCTCAAACAGAGTGCTAACCTGCTCAGACTAAAGCCCATTAGCTTGAAAACACGCTGTACTGCTTTACCATTGTTATAACCTAAAATATGAACACTAGAAAACAATTTCAGAAATCAGGTATTCTCAACTGTACAGTATTAAAAGTAATTGAGTCAGGCTGTCAATTGCCAACAGACAATTTTTTTTTTAACATATAAATGTAGTTGCACACATTAACCATAATTAGAATATAGGCTTATATGACATCCACAAGAAGGAATGATTAAATATAGTAATTAGTATAAGTTTTGCTAGTTTTAAGGCATAGATAACCACATACTTAGCAACTGATATACAGATTTCATTAACAACTGTAGCATGAGCATAGTTATAAAATAATAACTGAAATCACACTTAGAAAGGGGAAGGAAATGTAATGCATAGACGTAATAAACCAAGCAGTTAAAAAACATGGGAAAAAGAAGAAACAGAAAATTGAGAAATCCCATTTAAATGCAGCTCATGAAAGATAAATGATTGCTTCTTGGAAGGGAAATTGTTTCTGAACTACAGCTGCAGTATTCAGTCCACATAAGAACAGCAACAATTCATGCTTCTGTAGCTGACAGAAATGCTAACACAAGTTAAGAAAGCTAAATCAAATAGAAGAATACAGCTTGTGCTCATGGACAACAAATTAAGTGGTTAGAATGATGATATTTTGTACATAATGCTCTTTTAACAGCAACATTTCTGTAACAGCATTACTAATAATGTCAATTTTAATAAGCCTATTTTCAGAGAGAGAAAAAAATAAGAATAGAGTATGAGTGCCAGACTCCCAGAAAGGTAGGCTTAGACATATTTTCTAGGAAATTCATCGAGAAAAGGAGTGCTATTACTTTGAAAATGTTCAGGAGTCATTTAAATCCTTGGAAAAAAAATCCAAGTAAATTTTCATGTCTCTTCTCAAACTGTCAAAATTCTCCAAGGCTCCAGTCATTTCTAGAAGTATTTTACTGCCACGACAGGCAACACAATTCACCCAAGTTTGGGCTGTGTGCTGACACTCATCAGCACAGCTAGCTCAGCCAGTTGAATGAACAAGGACAATGTACCCCTCCAGAGGGAAGTGTAGAACAGCACTCCTTGAGTTGAACTGATTTACCTGATTAATAGTGGTTTCTATTCAAAACTGTTTCGTTATTCCTTATCATCCATTCCTAAACATCATTTCTTAGAACATTAATTAGATTTCAAAATACAAAGATGATCCACTTCAAAAGACAAAATTTTAGAAGTTAGAACATACCTGCAGCATGTATTGGAGTTCTCTTTACAACATAATCTTTCACCAAGATGGATGCTCCCTGATTAATGAGCACATCTACACATTCCACATGTCCCTTAAAGGCAGCAAGATCCAGTGGTGTCCTTCCATTGTTATTCCTCACATCAAGGTCCAGCAGTGACTGCACCAGCACTTCTAGAGCTTGATGGTGGCCATGATAGGCCTATAAGAATAAGAAAATTCTTCAGTTTTCCCATCCTTCACATTTTTTCCTTTCTTACCAGGACTACATAAATGAAACTGTTAAGATAGTATTTTTGTTTTAATATTTAGAAGAGATACTGATATAGTACATCAGTAATCACAATAGTTATGATTAATTTAAAAAATCCCACAATTTCAGCAAAAAGATTGGTGGTTTTTTAATCTATCTATCTATCTATCTATCTATCTATCTATCTATCTATCTATCTATCTATCTATCTTTCTGTTTTATCCTTTCAGCAACAGCAACTACTTTCAGAAAATCATCTGTCTCCAAAACTAATAGTCTTTTGAATACTTCAAGTTTCATTGCTTAATGTCAGTTATATCATACTCTGGTTATTTCAAGTGAGGAACATAAGCAAACCTAAGTAATTCCTGTTAGCTTTTTACATAAAGTATTAAAAAAATTCCAGTAAAAAGAATACAGTACAAATAGCTTTCATTTACCACTATTAAAGATTATTTTTTACCTTGGAGATAGATATATATATATATATACAGGTATTGCCCGAGACACTGTATTTTCATGAAGTACAATGTAATTTTTCAATTGCTTGAAGTTCAGTGAAAAGATGAAAGCTACATATTCAGCTGCTTACTCTGTATTTTGAGTGTATTTGTATAGACAGTTTCACCACTGTCCTACCCTACTCTTTGTGCAAATCTTTCTTCAAGTATTAAGGAAAAATATTTCTCTTACTAAACAACGAGGGGGGTAAAACAATGTGATAATTAAAAAAAAGTTGTAATTACTTACAGAACAAGTCTTATAAAAGTTTCGTTAGTATAAATTATAATATAAATCTTAATTAGAAGATTCCACATGAAAGCTGTTCCATGAAGCAAGTTTCAAGTGAAATGCAAAAACCACCCTGTATACCTCATTCAGGAATATTAGTGCATATGTTTGTATTTTTACTGCTATTAAGCTATTTTGAAAAAATCCAGAATGAATAAACCTGTGCAACGACTGTGTGCCACTAGAAGAGCTGTCATCACTAAAGAACGAAACACTTACTGCTAAATGCAGTGGACTTATGGGTGCTCTGTTGTCTGAATCATTCAGCATGTCAGTACCTGATGTTTCCATTAGCTGAGAGAGAGAAAGTCAGAGTGAGTGCAAAACCCCCTTATCTTTCAAAATGCTCAGCAATATTTGCTACAGTTTCCATTATACACAGCTTGAAAAAGAAAAAAATAGGAAGAATAATATAAAATTACTATCTCCTGATCTCCTTCAACCTTTCACAGGGTTTGAATTACACTGACTGCATCCCTTTCCCCATATTCAGGCCCCAAGCCCAGTTGGTTAATTTTGCATAACAAAGCAATAATTAAATCAGAAACTAAGCTAAAATTATTATTTTTTCTGAAGAAGCCATATGAAATAATTTAGATGAAATGTATACAAAGGGAAGACAAGGACAGGTGACAGCAGTAGGAAAAAATAAAAAACCAAACAACCAACCAAGTAAGCTTTTGGATTAGGTGAAAAGTGAGCAAGAAAACAATATGAAACGGTCAGAAGGCAGAACAGGAAAACATTTCTGAGAGAGAAAAAATGGTCTCAAAAAAGGCAGAAGCAGTATAGCATTATATGTATATTATAAATATACATTTCTATTTGTTACTTCCAGATGTGTTCAAAAGTTTTAATTCTGGGTCTTTTTCAAGACCATTTAATTGAGTACAAATGCAGAATTAAAACATTCAAAGTGGTTGAAGAACACAACATACATTCAGATCATATTTTCATTATCACACTTTTATAACATGGTCATACAATTGTTTAAGTAAAAAAGTACATGGTTTAAAAAGTTTCCTATTTTAAAATTCCAAAGTGCAATTAGATCTAGATTGTAGTTGAAATTAAATAGTACATTTATTCACTGAAGAAATGGTTGAATAAGTCTAAAAAATAAGCATTATTTTTAAAATTACATGTTCTCTTTTGCTGTATAGTAATATTTCAACAGTGAGAAATAATACACTTACAACATCTAGAGGTGTTTCACTTGCAATCTGCAATTAAAAAGTCAGAATGCATGTTTGAATACATTTGAATATAGAACTGCAATTTCAATAAAAACACTGAAGTTGTATAACATAGCGTATCAGATAACATATTTTTGCAAAAGGAGTAATAAAAAACTAACTAAGGTTTTATTATCTAAAATTCTATTATGTGGCCAGTAGTTACTGTAACGACACAAATTATTTTTATAAGGCACCTTTTCTTTACAAGTTTTCCATACATTTTCATTTGCTCCTTCTAATGACCTTCATGAAACTTCTTAGAAGTTCATGATGGTTACTTTATTTCAGCCACCAGCAAAAAAAATTAGCAGTATAGTCTAAGTTAAGAAACAAAACAAAACAAATGTCCCACATTCTCAACCAGAGGATCTCCTCTATTCATCTGAGAATGTATTATCTTTTTAAGCCAGTACCCAGCATCTTAGCTCCTCACCTTGCTTCTATTTCAGGAATACCAAATGCTTAAATATTTATCCTTACAGAGGCTGAAAAACAGTATTGACCCAGCTTACAGGTGAAGAACCAAGGTGGAGGAATCCCCTGGCTTCTCCATCACCCTCTGTAAGAGCAGCTGTTACAGCTTTCATCTATGATATGTTTTCTTACCAATTCAAGACACAAGCGATGACCGTAAGCAGCTGAATAATGAACTGCATTGTATCCTTGTTTATCTCGGATCCCCGGGTTGGCATCGTTTCTTAGCAAGTATTCCAGGCACCTATTCAAATTGACATATGCAACCATGTATCTAAATGTTGAATTTCAACTTAATGCTAAGTGATAAATTGTTCCAATTCAACTGGAAAATAGAATACAGCACACAGGGACACTGATTTAATGTACAACATTGGCTAGGACTAGAAAACACCTAACTCATTACATCAGAAGTTAAGGTCATTCACAAAACTCAAAATTTGAAAGAGTCCTACTCTGCACACATCCTCCTGCATCTTCTGAATTATCTGGCTTGGTTAAAACTAGTGTTTCATGGCTATTTTTCTTCTAGATAACACAACTGCAGTTACCTTTCCTAATATCAATGATTACCATTTTTTTCTGCATCAGTACGTTCCTTCATACTTATTACAGAAGAAAGACAACCAGTAGCTGATACCATGGTGGCATCCTGGAGTCACACACACGTTCACCTCTACCACCAGATGCTAGTTTTTTGATTTGTTTATACAGTAAACACACTTAGTTGTTTACATACTTACTTGCTACCATTCCTTACTCTCATTACACAGAGCTATAAGGCAGAACATGATCAGCACAGTTTCAACCACAGACACTCAGCCAGAAGGGTGAAAAATAGGGGATTCAAGTCAGCTCACTTTCTCCCTAGTTTTCCTTTTTTAAGAGACCCCATGTGTTCACACTAAATGATTCCAACCAATAACTCTACTCATTCATAATTTTATGCTGTCTATAATTTCAGTAACATTTTGCAAAGTCTTTATCACAACCTTGAACTTGTTGGTGAAGCCATTTGGTTTTCTTAGGTGTACAACAGGGGCTTCTCTCTGGGTTCACTAAATACTTCTTTATCAGTTTAATAAAATGCATATGAAGCTAAAAAATATACTATCCTGTCAAATCCAGCTTGGAATCCAGCTTCCTTAACACAGTTTACCTAAAGGTCTCACAGATTACCGTTATCAGTAGTGACAAATGGGTATACTGACAACATGAGTACAGTTCTAGCTCCCATTTATCTCATTGAAAATTGTTTGGTAGAAAGTTCAAGGGAATTTCAACATTTTTAGTTGTATGACATGGGTATGCTGTGACGTCACGTGGAAAACTTGCAAGGAGGAGATGGCTGATTTAGATTTGAGAGGCAGGAATACTGACCTGCCCCCTGATCAATGCCATTAAGAGTGCAAACTTGATCATTCAAAACCCCAAAGAACCCCATTCAGTCCTTGGAGAAATATAGACAGAAATCCTACAAAACCAGCCATCTCCAGGGGGAAGACAGCATGACACTGCAACATCAGAACTCTGAATTCTTTCAAGGAACAGCCTGGAGTCAGCAGATGGAACAGTGCAAGTTCATCAGCTGAACGAGATCCAGTACCAGCCGAGATGAAACGGAAACACATTTCGGCACAAGTAAGACAGCTGTACCGGGACAAGGGCCTGATAACCTCCTGTGCAACAACAGCTATTTGCTGAAGTAAGACCTGACATTTGCTTTTCCAAACAAAGGTTGAAAGTAACAAACCAGGTGAGTGAAGATTAAAGGGGCAAAAAGCTGCAGCAAAATCCATGAACAAAGAAGTGTCTAATTACAAAGGACTGCCTCATAAAAAAGCTGAGACAAGCAGAAGCAATGCCAAGCTGCAGTCTGACTTTCATCATTTTGTGCCCAGCATAAAGGAGAACAGGACTTAAGCAGGTAGTGAAAAAGGTAAAAATGCCGAGTTTTAAGAGTAACATAGATAACGTAAGATGTAAGTAACTTTACAAGAAGTTCGGCATATCTAATAAAAAGGTACCTATAAAGCATATCTACGTTGTTAAACCAGTTAACTCGGGTTTTATTTTCCCAGTAAACAAATGCCTGGATTTCATTAATGGCAACCATACTCGCGTGTTTTTATTTGAATTAAAATGGGATGAGATTCCTGAGAACTCAAAGACACGTCAATTTGTCTCATTAAGTGAAAATTACAGTCCTTACATTTTATTTGTCCACTCCTCTTAACTTTCTTTGTTAATTTTAATCAGTGATTCTGTGTTAAAAATCATGGTTCACTAATAAATGTTACACGTCACTGGCCTTGGCTACCTAAATTTCTACGCTTGTGTACCTTCTCTACTTAATGTGCTCACAAAGCCCACAATACAGTAAATATGATGCAGGAAGCTAAGTCTACTAAAAATCCTCAAGTACCCATTCTTTCAGTGCAAAACAGACAATTACTTTTGATATTTCTTTGCATCCAAGATAGAGACTAACTCTGCATCTTTCGCATACTTAACTGTCCTCAACAGGTCTCTTCAAAAAGGAGATAATTCAAACTTTCTGAAAGCCCAGGCAAGTTAAATTTATTTCCCATATGTTTATTGGTGAACTGTCCATTAGAAAATTCTAACATAGAAACAGCATGGGTTTTTTCTCCCCTAAGATTCTGCTTATTTTACCTCATTCTGAAATCATGTTTTTCTCTCTAATCTTGTCAAAATGAGGCTTACTGGTGTTTGTTCCACATCAGAAGCATTTTTAAAGACACAGAGGAAATACCTCTAAACAGGAACAAACCAGAATATAATTTTCAACAAAAACATCCTCGTCTCTAAACTCCGTCTTTAAAGATGTCTGAACAAAGAATGTAAAACCACACACAAATGCATTTGGAATTTCTATAAGATGGCTTCCTGACATGTTTTTTCCCAGGCTTTATATGCCAACTGAATAATCATTTTAACTTTATTCCTATTTTGAATATGAGTTGAGCAGCACTGGTTTTCCAGCTGTTACTAATCATCTTGCTGCATCAATATAAAAAGCTTCTCCTCAGGCCATTCTGCTTTGCAGCCTGTCTTCCAGAGACCCAAATGTTAATCAGAAGGGCAATACCACGTGGGTCCCACAGACAATCCTTTGAGTTACCTCACAAAGCTCTGCAGTATTGTCATCACCATTCTTGCTTGTGCCTTTTGTAAGACAGATGGTAAAACGATGTCATCTGAAGAACCATTATAGTTTGGAGGTTTTCAGAGCAACTGGGAAGCTAAAATTAATCCTAGCTCAACTTGTAAGAGCGCAATTAAAGCAAAATTATCTCAGCTAACTCCAGCAGGAATTGAAAGTATATCTAAAAAGCATAAGACAGTTTTATTTTGCAATCTGGCTTTACATAAAAAAGGGATGTTCTTCAAATATAAGTTCAATGGCCATGAAAATATGTTTTATTTAGCCTTCAAAACCCAATCTGTAAGTTATATGCCACCTCATTCCTATTGTTACCTCACCTTTTAAAAGATGCTGTATTGAAACAAGACAATATGGCACAAAGCAGCACTTCTCCAGTGAAGGTGTCGCTGTATGCATGTGAAATGCACACCACGACCAGTACAGGTGAGTGTGTGCACAAGCAAGTGCTGCTCAAGTCTCCCCAATATATACAGTGTCTGGAGCTTAAGTGACATCATCGATTTTGTGCTATCTATATTCACTTTGCATGACAGCTTTTACGGCATTAATAAGCATGTAAAATATAACCATTAGTTACAAAAAAAAACCATAAGAGATTTCTGGATTTACAAAAGATTCTGGATGCATTTCATTAGTAAAAGTGTAACTATATCACAAAAACTTACACTCTCAAGAGATAGAGTTGTAATGCCTAATGAGACTATTTTAATCAAGTAACAAATGGAAGAAGCATCTTATGTGGAAATGATGAGTTCATTTATATCCTGCTGTAGACTTTCTGTGATTCACAGTCTAGCTTCACAGTGCATTCCTGATTAATTACACAGATTTTTGGGGCAATATTAAGAACCCTCCATAAAACATCATCCTTCATCAGAATTTATTTGTAAAGCAAAATGACCCTACTGCTCAGAGCTGTCTTAAAACTCCCCACAAAAGATATTTAGCCAACCACTACACAACAGATGGGATTAAAAACTCTATTCCCAATGAATTCCTCAATTAATATATCTCCATTACAGGACACAACAAAATTATTACAAGATACTTTACTATTGTCCGTTTCCCCCCCTCTGAAATATTTGTTACATAACGTATTTTATATTTTATAATGAACAATACGTTGTCAAGTTCCATCTTCAAAAATACAAAAAAATGCATTTGGCAAATCTGAAGGCACAGCAATACACGACATTCACAGCTCAAATGTTCCTAATGAGAAAGGCTTTAGTACAAAGTATGCCACTTACTTCCCATCTGTGTCTGATGCAGCTGCATAGTGCAGAGGTGTACAACCCCTCTCATCAAGGTCATTCACACTAGCTCCAGATCCCACAAGGGCAAACAGGCACTGATAATTACAATTGGCAGCAGCATAATGGAGTGGAGTTCTTTAGTACACATTTAAATAAAAAGTACAATGGTAAATAACAGCAAAATAATATTATAGAGACAGAAAAAGCAAAATAAAGTGAAACTTAAATCCTCCTTACATTTTCAAACAAGTATTTGGGGTGAAGAATGCACTATTACAATATTAAAAAGTGGGGCCATTTTCTAGGGACCATTTAATAATGTGGAACAGTATCTAGGGGATTTATTTGCCAGCCAAAATATGCACAAACTTTGTATTAAAGGAAGCTTTATATGATTTTTTTTCTGTAAACTTGTAGAGGGAAATCAAGTTTACAATAGAAATATTATTTTCTGTTAAGTAATTTCAAGCCACATGGAAAAATATGGACAAATCAAAGAACTGCACAGCAACTAAATGAATTAAATGTAAAATACAACAATTAACAAACAGATGTTTTTGATAAACAGACTGGAATTTTGCCTAAGAGACAAAAGCATTATTTATTTATTTTTAACTATACTAACATATCAGAGGCATTGAAAGAAAAAATTTAAAATATACCTTGAAATATTAGTACTCATGTATAATCTCAGAGAAAACTTATAGCAGCTTCAAATACAAACAATTCTCTAAATAAACTAGTTCATCCAAAATTTCAAAAGGATCAAGATGACTCAGAACTCCACTTTTATTTTTAGAAAGAGACTGCTGCTATAAATATCTCAATTTCGAGGAGACAGTCAGGCACTTTAAAGTGTCCCACCTCTTCCCTCTCTCTTAAAATGACTTTTTCCAATTTCTTTCCAGTTTACTTGAATATTTTCCATCTCCTGAAATAATTGCTTTAGATAACATGCACGTTAAACCAAAATCCAAACCAGGAAAGAAAATAACTTTCAATGACACAATTTGTGACAGATAGTTGTTCCTTTCTCAGGAAATAATGAAGTGGAATTTAAAGCAAAATACAAGTTTGGGCCCATAACATTTTCCTCAGTTCCTACTTCTGCCGTTCACATCCTGGAAAATCATATTTTCCATGACGTGACACGACATTTTACACACAAGTACTGATCATGCCATATGAACTTAAATAATCCTGTACTAAAAATAGGAATTAATGTCATTCCAAAAGCGTTTAGAGCTTAAACAGGGAAACAGAAAGGGATGGATATAGTGAAAGGAAAAAGGTGAAGCAGTTATAATAAAATAATGGATATTTTAATAAAAAAGCTTAGAAATAGCAACAGATTTATAGATTTGACTAATACATTATTTGGAAAACATTACTAATGTCCTTGGATGAGAGCAACTTAAACACACTAGATCCACGTTGTAAGCAAAAAAAGGCACATAAAAATTACAGTTGAATACGAAACTCAGTCTCTAAAAACAAGACAAAACACCTATTTAACAAAACACAATAAACAAACTATATTTGTGACTTTTGATGTTGAAGCACAGTTTATTAGAGACATTGTATCTTAAAAAAACATTTCACCTGGAACACACAGACTTGCCCACACAGCAATATGCTACTTCTGCAATACTTTAAACAGCCCTTTACAGTATAAAAATCTAGAATATCTTACCTTCCAAATCTGTCCTTTTTGTTGAAGTCTGCACCAGTATTTAGCAGAAGATTTAGGCACTCCAAATTCCTATTAAATTAATGCACTGTTACTCATGATTGCAAATTTAATTTCTTAGTATTGGCCTCTATGCATATCAGAACTGCTACACATGTACATCTCACATGTTATTTTTAATGGAACTGAACTAGAATATGAAATTTTTGATAAATATATTTCTGCATGTAAAACAGATTTCATAACTGCTGGACCAAATCGGCAAAGAATATAAATTATTTCATGACCACGTATATACATTTTATTGATATCAAATGGCACGCATAAAGCACATAAACATGAATGCAATTCAATTAAAAAATTCAATTCTTGTAAACAAACAATAACACCTGCATGTTACATGCTTTTTGCTACCAGGATTCCAGCACAGAGGCAACTTTTTACTGCATGTTTTTTAAGGTCAAGTATAAGTTGCAACATAAGTATTTAACTTTTTTGCATAATCGATTTTCAATAAAATATAATCATAATAATAGATGTACAACTCTGTTTATTGTTTAAACACTACCTTGGTAACTTTCCTAAACTGGAGATGAATGACGGAATGTGTCACAAATTATGTGATTTCATATGAAAAGATAGCGATTTAACCCTAATCACTTGCAACAAGGATGCATCTATCAAGTATCTTTTGACTTGGAATGATTACTTAACACCATTACTTAAACAATATTCAAACAGAAAAATGAAAATATCAATATCATGGAGTTCCTGTGTCCCACAAAGTGTGTCATGAAATTTATTACCCAATTCTTCCAGGCAATTTTGAGTAGGTGCTATAGAAAACCTACAATACAATAACAATAATCACGTGTGATGAGTGATGAGTAAGTAGTTCTGACTACTTCATTCACACAAATTCTGGAATTTAATTATTGCTTTTAATTTAGTTAGATTATCTTTTGTTTATGGATTTGGTAAAAGCAAATTTCCCAAAGTTGCTGTTTTCCACCCCATGTTCTACAGTGATTTGAGGTGGGCATGCCATTTTTGAATGCTGTAAGTTCTAAAAATTATATAATCATCCATGGAAATTAAAAAAAAAGTCAGTTCATCCCCAAACATAAACCTAAGGTAAGGCTGATGATATCTGGACAGTGTACTCCAGCAATTACTTATTGAGCTGAATAGTTAATTTATTTTTACTGACTGCAGATAGAATCCATCTTGAAATTATTTTCATCCTTACATAAATTCCAAGGGGAGCACAGAGAGGAAATACTAAAAAAAAAAAAAAAAGAGCAGGAATGATCAATTGAAAAGATAACATTAGATATGAAAGCATGAATGCTTTGTTGCATACCCTCCAGCAGCAGCTGCATGAAGACAAGTCCTGCCAAAGTCATCTGGTGTGTCAATGTCAAAACCTACAACAGAAATATTTTGTAAAAACCATTATGTAACATCACCTTTCACAAAACTGCTGTCATCTACTGCTAAGAGAAACGCTTGCTAAGCAAACTTAACACCTATTTGCAAAAAAGCACTCAAGCATTAAAAATTACTTCATTTGAAACATGTCCTTGCTATTTGCAATGTTTTGAAAAACAGGCATTTAAATAAAACAAAGGGATCAAAAAACGTAACTGCAATTTCATATCTAACCACATATTTTGACACAAAGATTAATATTTAAATTAGGTTTCAAAGCTACCTTTTTGGTTTGAAAGAACAACTATACTCTCCTAAGAGTCTTGCCCTTGTGTAATGTAACTTATTCATTCAATCTCCAGTTTTCGTACCTGGGAATGATGGCATTTTTTTTAGCTTTTTAAGAACTGTTCAACAACAATAAATAATGAACAACACAGGATGCCTTATGCAAAAGTGCTATTATTTCAAGACTGTTTTCCTACTCCATGTCCCATAAAACAGGTTTTGTAGGCATCACTATGTTCTCTCTCATTTTGATAGGTAATGCTATATGGCAAACACTTTAAGAGTTTCCTAATTTGATTTGAAAAGTAGTCTTTGATGTTTTTTTCACAGGTTGCTTGTCTGCCACCACTAACTACTTAAATGTCATTCAGTACTGGAACAAGGAAGAATGGTGTTTTGTTAAGGTCTGCATATGAATATTAATTAATTTTAAAATCTGAGATCCCTAATTTACATAAAGGAGACTTTTCCTCCCAAAACCAAAAAGGGCATATAGTCTGCAGATACCAATCCCCACACCAGCAGCACATACTAACATGCTATTTGCACTGTCTGGTCTCTCCAGTCTGAAGGCTGAACATACTCATCTCTGCTCCAGGCTAGATTTACATCCAAGTTTGCTCAATTCATGTAAAACTCACAGAAATCACTTTCAAGTCTTCTGCAAGGTTTCCTTTGCCAGAGTGAATCTCTAGTAAGGGCACAACCACCATAATATTGTGTTTGAAAGAGCCAGAATATCCCTCATTTTGAACACATCCAATTGAAATATTGTCAATTACTGTACAGTCCTTTCCTGGGGTAAGTCCTTGAAAGCTTGCACAGAACAGGACACTAAATAAAAAGCCTTACCAGTAGGTAGTTTTAGTTATATTCTTTTAGTTCTTCTCTCAGGCTTCCATAACAAACAATATAAAGCTGGGAAGTGACTTCTTACTTTTCCTTTTCCCTAACTCTCTCCTCCCCACTTTTTTTTTTTTTTTTTTAAAAAGATTCAGATTAATAAAGAACCATTTAGTTTATTCTTATTTTTCTTTTGTTACTGAAGTTCAATTTGGACAAATCTACTTTCTCAGAATTGAAATGGTTCTAAGAGCTTAGAATTCCCATCAGACTCTGCCCAACAAGGGAAACAATGACCTTACAACCTCCACAACTTCAGGGAGGAGTCAAACAATGAAGGAAAAGGGCAGTTTGCATTGTATGTGATTAAAAAACACACCACCAAATGCAGCAGCTTCTTAATGCAGCAGTCCACAGAGTCATTAGAGTTATTAGGTGCCCACTATGGGAATAGGTAGGAATAGACTGATCTGTACTAAGCTAAAGAAGTCTTGGAAGAGAAACAGCAGGATGCTCTAAGAAGTCAGAACATCAGTCTTTCTCCTTGAAGTTTCATTATAGTCTAAGCCAGTCATCCCACCTCTATAGCCAACCCAAAATGCACAAACACAACATTAAAAAAGTGACAAATGCATTATTACAATTTGGATTTTTTTTTTAATTACTTCTGCAAAAGTTTGCGTTCACTTTAGCTCTGGACTGTCCATTAAAAAACAAGCACCAGGTTACCAGTAAACTATAAAGATTTTTATGTACTACTAAACTAAGATTCAATTAAAAGCTACTCTATGAAATACAGAATGAAGTGCAAAACATGCATAAGAATTTAAAGGAGTGTCCTACCTGATGAGAGGAGCTTTCTGCAGCAGTCTGAAAATCCACTTAATGCTGCCAAATGGAGAGGAAACATCCCATGTATACCCCGCCTAAGATACACCATAATCAGGTATCACAGTTTCATTACAAGTAAAATAAAACAAACATGATTGTGCGCAAAGTGCACATGCATGGTGGGTTCAGCAAACCACCTGATTAGAATACTGAGCAAAATTCACATATTAAAGACTTTCTTACAAGCTACCAGAATGCATTAAATCAGTACAACAGCCTATTAAAACTTTCAAAGCTTTTACTTGAAATACATAAAAGGAAAATTTATTTCTCTTTTTCTTGGTACAAACTGTGATGTACTGAGTAGCTACTTTAAAGCCCAGTACAGGATAATCCTATTTCAATTTGAAGATGACATTAAAAATCATACTAGTCTTGTTAATATAACAAATACATTTCTAAATTCTCTCAGCTTGCAATCACATCAGTAAAGTTACCTACTTTGCAGTGTCAGCACCACTCGTAATCAGTGTGTTGATTAATAGCTCATGGCCATATCTAGCTGCTATGTGCAAAGGGGTATTTCCATTCTTATCCTCACAGTCTATTTCAGCTCCTATAATAAAAAGTAATTACTAAGTAAGAATATACGTAGGCATACAGACACTTTTGTTAGAAAAATAGCACTGATGACATTAATAATAGTCAATGAATAACTACTTTAGATTTAAAACCTATAGAGCTTTCAGTTGTATTAGGCAGTTATAACAAGAATACAAAAGCTTTTCTATATTCTGTTAACAATATGGGACAAATTTTCAATGACTCAGGAAGAGAAATCTATATATTTTCCTGCATTCTGAAAGAAAAACCGTTCTTTAGTGTAACTTATCAAAGTTTATAAGCAGATATGCCACACCCCACCATTAACTGGTCTGATACTGGACACTGGATCTGAAAAAAAATTCAGTATGTTGCTACCAATACAAGAGGACAAAAATATTCGTAATACTGGAAAGTTGATGACAGGGCTACTCCCCCCCCTTTTTACCATTTTGAATGATGGTTTGGGATCTTGAAAATCTACCATGGATCGCTGTCATGTGCAAAGGTGTTTTTCCATCTTTACTCTGGAAAAGAAAAAAAACAACCCCTGTGTTTACTTATGGTCAATAACAGTAATCCACCAGAACTGACCACAAGATGTTGTTTTCATTCTTCTTTCCCCTCTATTGCATCCTTTAAATTGTTTCTATGCACTTCTGCCAGACAGATGCTGGCAATGACAAGTCAGCATGACAGACAGCAAGCTTTTCACAAGAACTGCTCTTAAACACTCTTCCAGCTGTGAGTGACAACTCAGTGATACCCACTCACTCACACTTATGTCTTTAAGATAGCTCTGAAGAGGATGATGACAGCACACAACTTTAGCAAAAAGCCTATGTCCAAGTCTTCCCCTGCCCAAGTCTAAAATAAAACAATGCTTTAAGTTTGTTTCTTGAAAGAAAGTAGTTGTGTTTCCTACAGAGCAAATTACACAGAGTAAATTACACATTATATTAGAAGGTAAAAAGCTCATGTGTTTCTTGGCAATTTCTGTAAGGGGATGTTTGTAAGCAATTTATCATAAACCACAAGTAATCCCAGGGTAGAACTATTCAACCCTAATTGGTACTATACATTTGAAATGCACATCTTAAAATGTGCACTTAGTCATTCACCCAGTAAAGGTATCCTTTAAGTAGGCCAACAGGAATGCATAAGGAAACTTCAATTTTTAACAGCTCAATCTCAGTGCATTTACAAACCAATTTTTTCTGTTATTATTACTTTAGGATGTTTTTCCCTTTGTACTTTATCACAGGTAATGGGAAAGCTTTACTGCAGAAAAAGGTTCCTACAAATGCACACAAAAAATTGCAAACATGACAAGAAAATAAAAGGACTCTTGAATGCTCATGCATACCACATCTTTAAATTTTAAATGCTGGCTTTGAAGAGTGTGAAATGTTCATAAAACACAAAGTTAAAAAGGACAAAGATGGTAGGGGGAAGATAAATACCACAAATTGCTGTCACGTGCAAAAGTGACTTCCCATCTACTCTCCCACTGAAACCAAATGGCAAAACTTCTATGGATGTGTTACTGAAAGTTTGCTGGAGACCCTTTTAGGGAAAGATGGATGTGGAATTTTCAGTTTTGTCACTACACAGAGCAGCATACACAACCTACAACGATGCTGTTATGGAAAACATTGTCTTCTCAGACCTAGACTGAAAGAAATAAAACTTGATAATTAAAGTCATCTCCAGATCTTTCAGCTAGCAGACTTCTTTGACCATAAATAATCTAAAAGACAACATCTGCATATCATAGCAGATGCAAATAAACACAGAAAATGGGGTCAATTGTACAATCAATTTTAATTCTGTCATTGGAGGTCTTTAAGAAAAGGCCAAATGCATCACAAGTGACATCTTCCCCAAGCAATCTCTATGTTCTGATTTTCTTTCATCTCTTTCTCCCTGTGGTTTAGTTCTCCTTTCTTTATCCAACCATTAACATTCTCTGTGTCCAATTACTTTCCTCCTTTAAAACAACTGTTACACATATGGTGTCTCTTTCCCTTACTTTTCTCCTTCTTTAACCTGGAGAATCTATTAATTTAAAGAAAAATTATCACATAAAATAAGCTTAGTGAAGTAACAGATAGAAGAATTTCAGGGCTCAGATAAAGTAGCCTGCAGTCTCACTGGTTCAGATGGGATAAATCTGTATCTTGAAGCCTAATGAAAAGAAGATAGAGCTGAAAAAGAAAGTAGCTCCAAATCTCAATGAGCACATTAATAAAGTACCTTACAAGGACATAAGAATAACTTAAGGTGACAGTATTAGAAACTAAAGAGCACGGTGGTCAAGTGAGAACCCTCACAAGACAACTTCCGGGAGATCTTGCAAACAGCAAAATAAGCTACAAAATCATGAATGAAAAACCACAGTACCATCAATAACAGATTTTTAGATTTACTCTGTTGAAATTTACTTAAAAATCCACGTAACATAGATTTCTAAGACAATGGATTTGATTGGCCACAATGCCTCTCTCATGTCTAACAGTCTCACGTTCCGGGTCTATCATGTCACAGCATTCTTCCAAGTGAAATCTCCCCCTAGCAACAGCTCTTCTGTTCTAGTACCACCAATGGAAGTAAAAAACCTTTTCTATTTAGGTCACCAAACTTTCAAGCAGCAACGGGGCCCATAAAACAATTAATACTGTCCCATTACATGCTCATTTCAATGTGTTCTTCCATGCATGGAAATCCTGAATAGTGAGGAGAGAGGGCTGCAGTAATGAGCAATACTTAACAAGATTCACTGTTCTACAGTGGACACTGCCAAGGCTATGAAAACAAGCAGGAAATTATGTCCTCTGCCCACAGAGGTGATAAAAAGAGTGTAACATATTTCTACTGTTCTATTATCTTCTGCCACATAATCTGTTCTCGAGATGAGGCCACCACTCACAGACACACACAAGAACTTACCCTCCATCTGCTATCAAGAATAAGTGCTCTAATAGTACTGTCTAGTCTGCACCTACATTACCATCCATATCCCCTGTTACATCTAACAACACAGAAAAAGTTGCACATGGGACAAAATTATTGAACCAGCTTACACAAGTAACGTAATTATAATGAAAAATAGATCTTATAACCATTTTAAGAACTACTTTGAACTTAAACCTCAGTATTTGGAAACAGAACAGAACACTGCTTTTGCTAAATACTTAAAAGAAGGTCCTAATTCCATCTCATTTTAATTCCACAATTTATTCCTACTACACAACATGCTATTTGTTTTTTTAGGGATTGGTCTTCTAATTAAATCCAAGACTTATCTTTATAGGTCTTTCCAGGGAAGTAGAAGTTGACTTGGAAATTATTTTCTTTTGCCTCAGTTCCTGCACTTTTCAACAGTGCAAGTGATAAATTTTCATATACCAAGTAAGGCTGTTCACACCTTCAGGTGCAAATTTACAGGCCAAATTCTGTCATACTGGTATAAATACACAGAAATGCTATTAAAAGAATTACAGTGGAAACCTTGATGAGGAAACAGGATAAATGCTGTTTTCAAGCTATAATTGCTTAAAATCCCTACTCAGCCCTACTTTCTTAATTATGTACTTAACAGTTTTGATACGTACTAAATCAACACATTTTAATTACAACAACCTACAGCTAAAGCTACTAATGCTCTTTCTGAAATAGAGCCCTCCTTACTTCTTTCTTTTAATTTAGGAATACACACAAAGTTATGAACCCTTGCAACCCTGCCTACAGAAAGACGGGAGTTCTTGGCTTGGTAATATTTGTCATAGGATCGTTTGGGTTGGAAGAGATCTTAAATATCATCTAGTTACAACTATCCCGCCATGGGCAGGGACACCTTCCCTTAGACTAAATAGTTCAAATCCCCATCCAACCTGGCATTGAACACTTCCAGGAATGGGGCATTCATTCACACCTTCCCTGGGCAGCTTGTTCCAGTGATACACCACCCTTGTAGTAAAGGATTACTTCCTAATATCTAATCTAACCCTACCCTCTTTAAGTCTGAAGATATTCCTCCTTGTCATGTCACAGAATGCCCTTGTACAAAATCCATCTCCACTTTTCTTGGAGGCCCTAGAAGGTTTTGTAAGGTCTCCTCTGTTCTTATTTGTCTAAGTAACATATGCATATAATCACTAGCATATTTAACATTGTGGGATTATTTTCACAGCAGACCACATGTTTCTGAGAAATGATGTTTCAAGAATGTAGGACAGAAGTCAGCCAATGCTGCAACATTGAACACTCAGTCTTATCCAGTCTGGGACATTATGCAGAGCAGAAAGCTGGCAACAAAAATAAATGGACTGTGACCTGGATATTTTAGGACAAGCGAGAAATAAACCCTGAGACACAGCTCCTTACTTCTGTGGGGCACTTTGGTGATTAATTTTTCCACAACTAAGTTATGTATGTTTTCATTAAATGAGCCACACATCTAAATATATGTAACAGTGAGTAGGAACGTACATCTAAGATTTTTCCACATCAAAGAGCGTATTTTTAAACTACTCCCAAATTTTCAGTTGACTACGGGTTTTGTGCTAACAATAGATATAAAAATGTATTTTAGAGCTAGTTAGTTGAAAATCAGGGTGAATCACTGAAAATCACCACTTACATGAAGTGAACCACAAACACCAAGATTTTTAACAGAAATGTCAGCTATTCTAACGTTCACCTCCTGAGCAGATTGTGCTGAAATTCAAGCATAAATCTATTACAATTTTAAGAAACAAGAGGACAGATAACTGTCTTCCTATCACGTGGGTGATGCTTCAGGTAATTAGACATTCTGCATAAGGAACACTTGGACTCCTCATTCCACCACCCTAGTCTAAAACTTGTCAAGACATCAGATACTGCCGCTAAATATTTCTGAACAGGGTTTCTTTACCAGAATAAAAATCAATGTAATACAAAACAGGAGGTCTCACATCTCTCTCCCACATCTCAAGACTTCACACCACATGCTAGAGAAGACAATAAAAGCTAGAGATTATAGTTTGCTTTTATGCTTGTGTGTATTAGAAATTCTGTCTACAATAATATTAGATTAAAAGTAATATTCTGCAACTAAAGACTTGTGACCAAGTAGAGATGTAAAAAGTATACTGATTCTGCTTACCAAGTTTTGCTAGGTAATTAAAACACCAGCTGTTAAGCCTTTCCATTGGCCTGATCTACTTATATTTGTATTTTTAATACACCCTTCCCCAATCTGCCTAATTATTCTAGGATTGTACATTATCAGCCCTTCAACTGCTCCAGTAATTAGCCTGTTCATACATGTTTCTCTGAAATACCCTTGTTTTTGTTCATGTTACTTATTTATAAGGAAAACATGCTTTTGCATTTTTTTCAAATTATTTGGTTTTACTTATATGGTTAGACTAGGGAAAACAAATTATACAGAATTCTGACACTTAAATGTAATCAAGACTGACCAGAGAGTACTGTAATCCTTATTTTTTATCCTTTTGGGTCATTTAATACATCCCATTGAGGTTTTGAGATACTGAACAAGTTTCTTGAAGCAACATACTGGGTTATTTTTACAACAGTACTTTTCATACAAGTACTTCATCTATCAGTGGGAACCTCTAAATGCTACCAAAACGAATATTTTTGAAAAAACTCCCTCTGATGGAGATGTGTTGTATCTTTAGGCATGAATGGGTGGTTTTGGATATACCTACCTTTATATTTACATCTGCTCCGTTGCAGACCAAAAGCTCTAAACACAATGCTCCATGTGTTGACGCAGCGGCAAAGTGCAAAGGTGTAAATCCCTTCTCATTCACTTGATTTACATTAGCACCACAGTCTATGAGTTCATTCACTACAACATCTTGCCCATTGTAACAAGCTACATGGAGAGGAGTATTTCCATAGGCATTTGGTTCGTTCATCTATCAGAGAAAAACAACCCCGAGATTAGTTAGTAGGCAGAAAACAGTATTTAATGCAGCATTTAATTCTAACAAAGAAAGATCTCATGCCATGAGATTATGTTTTGGAACTCTTCAAAACCAGAAACTGAAAGCAAGTTCTGGGTGTAGCACTTTGATCAAGGCGTGTGTCCTGGGGAAGAGCATGACTGCCTTACAAGCGAGCCAACCTCCTGCAATTGTCTCCACACCAGTTTCCTGTGTGCAATTTAAGACGCACATGCCGAAAACGTCAACAGTGGCATACTACAAAGCATAGCACGGACCTCTATAAAACAGCATTTGCAAGTTTTCATTAAAAACATGGGTCATAGAGACTTTTCTTGAGGAGGGGTATATGGGTGTGTGCAGAAATTGAATTTATTGTTGTACACAACATGCTACTGAATTCTGATTTACTTCTCAATAAAGAACTTGAGCTGCAATCTCCAGCCTTGCAAGGCTAAAATGTGATTAGTAATGTAGATTTCTTACATAGTTTTCACAGTTTATTGTTAAGACACTTTCTATGTGCAGGTACTGTAGAGTCTTTTAATTTATTTTGCATTTTAACATTAATATGGTCTTACTGTGGTGTTGAAGTTTCTCACAATTTTTAGTATTTTCCAAAATTTAAATGATGTAAGAAAGTCAGTAACATCTATATTTTACAAACTGAAGCAAAAACATTTAATTTCCTGCACTAGAAAAAAGGCAGAGCTAGGGTCAGAATTCCTATTTCCTCACTTCAAGTCCAACGAATTAAGAGCAAGAAATATCAAACAAACAAAAAACCCTACTAAATATGCATTTATTTTCACATTATTGTGAAAAATCTGCAAGATTCTTAAGTTACCTGGGAGAATGTGGTTTTATAACAGAAAAAGTAGTATTTCCAGAGATCTTCATTCACGTGCTTTCACTATACCATAACCTGTCCCTAAATAAACAATGTGCTACAGTACTAACAAAAGCATTTCACACAACAAAAGAATGTGTCAGTTTTATTTTTCCTTACATCAACACCAAGATCCAGAAGATATTTGACTACACTGATCATCCCACTAGATGCTGCAGCATGTAAGGGTGTATATGATTTCTTGTCTTTGCATGTCACTTCAGCTGTATGGGTCACGAGTAACTTCACAACTTCAATATGACCTAAAATAATAAAGAGAAATACAATAAAGCATCATTTTTTATTAACCACCAGAGGGTTGCAAACTAAATAATTCTACGATTGTTATAACATGATAAGACATTATTCATTTGGACCTAATGTGGAAAACAAAGAATTATTCTTGTTTTCTAATTCTATCACGACCTATAAAAGCAACATAATTACCTCCACACACCACATCCAACAATCATAGCATTTATACTGCAAAAATAAATTTGTATATTCAAAACACAATCTTGTCTTCTGCTTACACAGCAGGATTTTTTTGAAGACTTGAGAACTAGAGAGGCAAAGTCACTTTGTAATTATTAAACATTTACTGCAAATTTATGTTAACAACTTGAGAGACAGTGTGACTGTCAGATTTTCCACTGTCACCTCAATTGCAAACATGCCCATTAAGGTTTCTAAATCTTATGCAGAAACTCTGAAAAAATTATGGAAACATGAAAAGAAAATATTCTACTTTGACATAAAAACATATCCCCCCCCAATCCAACTTCCTTTACTTGCAGAGCGTTTAAAACATTGAACCAAATCATACAGGATTTAGCAAAGCTCTGTTGTCAAGACTGACTCAGACATCATCCGAGGAGGAACCGTAGCTTTTTGAAAGCATTAACTGCTCTCCTAAGACAGTGAGAGGTGGGTGAGAGTCGAGTTGGGATTATGAGGAAGGGATGACCAGGGGGAAGTTTCAAGTGGAAAAGGGAAGGGAGGGCAGTGAGCCCACCCTGAAGTGATGGGCAGTAGCTCTCACTGCCAGCTTTGGGTCAGGGGTCCCAGCATCACACCACTGCTGCAAAGGACAGTGAGCTTTCCATGGGCTTGTAGGCAGTTGTGACACTGCCCGCTAAGAAGCCATGAAAGTGGGGTAACAAAAAAAAAAAATCTGTCATTCTTGCTCCAAAAAAGTCTGTTAATTTAACTGCCAAAAAAGTCATCACTGAAAACACACAGATAATCATGACAAAGTCTTCTGAATAAAGTAGTACGTGACTTTAACAGACCACAATACACTTAGTGCTTTGCCTTTGTAACTGACCCATACAGACAGATGTGGGATTCTTTGTTTTGCCTTTCAAGTTACGACCTTACCTCAGTTAAAGAAGGGGGGGGAAAGCATATTGAATTCTCAAGCTTATACTTATTCAGTCAGACATCTAAGTAGAAAGCATCAAGTCCAGTTTTCAGTTTAAGAGCTTCATAAAAAGTGAGGGTCTTCGCTTTTGCTTTTTAAGAGACTTGGTAAAAGTTTGAATAGGAAGTATCTACCCAATGGAATACAGACAAAGCTATTTTTATAAACATTCAGCCACCATGATACTTATTTTATGCTGCATGTCCAACAGCATACAAAACATCATTTTACCCAGCTATACTGATCAAAACTGTAAGAGTTTAACAGTGCAATGTGAAGTGCTGCAGTATTTCACTTCCTAATTACTTCAGTATTGTAGGAAAGAAGGGAAAGAGAAATGCAAAGATGATACTCATGTGACCCAAATACAATGTGGACTCGAATGAAAACAGGCCCTACATGAGAGACAGAAATATAGAAGAGACTGAAAGCAGTGAAAGTAATAGAGACCCTGAACAGAACAGTGGCAGAAAGAACTTTAAAGAGAAGATAAAAAAAAAAAACCCTGACCTGCATTGAAAACCCAAGCAGCAATCAGTGGAAGACTCTCAAACAGAAGAGCAAGGTACTTGACGTGAGAAGTGCTGCAGAGACATCCTAATTTGCTAATGCGGGCAATGCCAGCACACATGAACGTAAGTCCATTTCAGTCACAGCATTGCAGCCGGACAGCAATGGAGCCGGGTGAAAAGGAGGAAGGAAGGGAAACAATGGATATAACCCTAGGAAGTTATTTATAGTAGAATGACGAAAAGCGTAACTTTTTTATTCTGTGGTCAGTTTTACACGGTGGAAAAGCTTTAAAGGTTTTCTTCAAGCAATTGAAGCAATGAACAATGGCTCTAAATTGTGAAAGAGAATGTCACAGGATTGGGTTTTTTTCTTTTATTGAAGACATTCAAAAGCCTTTTCTACTCTATTGTCTACAAGGATATGTAGATTGATCAACATAGTTAAATTACATTTTTCCTACATTAACAGAGTTTCCTGTTGGTAGCCTATGAAATAGCACTGACTAAAATTAGAATAAATGTAGCTTTTCTGAAAAACAGGAGACTTTTCCCTCATCTAGGCAAGCACAAACCAGAAAATGTCTCTGTCCTCTCACTGACACTTATCAGATTTCTGCCATCTCATGTACAAGTTTCATTCAACAAAATTCTGCAAATAACCACTTTGAGTAAGGTGGTTGGACAGCCTGTTACAGACATTGCTTTGCAGATATAAGTACATGGAAAATACTAATGCAAAAATATTGCCAAGCATGTTGGATCAATAATGAAGAATGCTCTTTAACTTATGGGGTTTCAAGAACTGGTATCTGAAGTGCAATATCAGCCACCTTCAAATTATAAGTTAAGAGTATTAATGTTGTGATGATCAGTTCATAATTCACTGGCACATTCAAGTCTTTTCAAGTCTGATAAAAGACATTGAAGTACATTACCCTGACAGTACTGCTAGTGCATTGATCCAGACCATGAGAACAATAAAATAAGAATGGCAAGGCAAGAATTTGCAGTTTCAGGGATGAAATATTCTTTTGAAATCCAACCCCAGGGTTGCTGTAATGATCCTCTGTTTCAGGTGCCCCTTGTATTAACTGCTTACTTTTTGTTTAGCATTACTGCAGAATTTTTCACCTGTGATTAGACTCGTTGATTGAAGAACATAGTTCCTCCTTTTTAAAGAACAAAATTACCTACCTTACTTTTCTTTCTCCAACAAATTGATTTTTCTCACCACAAAAAACAAATTTACACAGCAATTTGAAGTATACTGTTAATGGTTTTCTGGCAGACACAGAACAACCTCAATGCTTATAATGCAAATTTTTTTCCTAGAAATATATAAAACCACTAAAAATAAGGTGACTTTTTTTCCTACCAAAATAGTAATCAACTGAAATATGTACATACCCATATATGCTGCCCAATGTATAGCTCGTCTGTCTTTCTTGTCAAATGCGTTGATATTGGCCCCTCTAGACAGCAGTAAGCTGACCATCTAAAATAAAGAAATCTTTTATTCACAATGGGAAACTCTGCTTAGAAAAAGAAAATCATAAAAGAAACCAAAAGTACATGTGTTTTTAGAGGATTTATGTATGCTGGCTTTTGAACACTCCATAAGCTTGAAAAAAACTGGCTGCCAGACCCTAGCAGCAATAATGAAGTGACTGTAAGGAACACAAAATTTGATGTCAACAAAAACATTTCTCAGTTTAATATAGTGAAGGTGTGAAATCTTTCTAATCTTCAGGTTATTACTAAGGGATTCACTAAAGCTAATCCCCAAAAGCAGGCCAATTTCCAGTGTGTCTCCAATTACCTATATGCAATTAATGGGAATTTCTCAGCAGTCATTTTTCAAAGCTTCAATATTAGGCGAGATGGAGCTTATTACATGTATTTCCTCCACATTTCAGTGACATCACTTTCCATATGTTCACTTTTTACTGAATAGAAAAATATCCTGGTTTTTCCATTTTTAATTTACTCATTACTAGTTTAACTCCGCTTATCTCAGCAAATTTGCTTCTGTCGTAAGAAAAGTGAATTCTGTAATAACTTTCCAACTAGATGATGTAACATTTATTTTCCTCAACTATTCTGTACAGAGATGCATACAAAAGACAAATTCAAATACAAAACAGAGGTTGGGTTTTTTTGAGGGCATGAGGGAGACATGATTTTAAACATAAGAAACTAAACATCAGAAACCTGAGGGACAGAATGATGAATGGAAAACAAATGAAGAAAATTAATTTTACCTCAACGTGTCCACTGAAGGCTGCATGATGCAATGCTGTTCTGCCTGCTCGATCAGACACATTTACATTGCTTAGGAGAGGCACCAAAGCTTCAGCACACTTCACAGCTTTGTTTGCAGCTGCTATGTGTAGCGGTGTCTGCCAGTTTTTATCACGAGCATTGACGTCCGCTGAATGCTTTAACAACACCTGAACAGCATCCTGAAAGCATTAAAAAAAAAAAAAAATAAGCCCCTTAGGAAAGACCTGAAAAACCTTAGATTTAAGGACAGTATAGTGGAATACAACTCTTTACAATTTGTTCATTTGTAAACATAATCGTACGCTTTGGGATTTGTATTTTATCATAAATCCAAGTTTGGGGATGTTCTCATGAACATGAATAATATATCCCCTACAGGATTCAACCAAATTAACCATTTCCAGGTCTTTCATCCAATTCCTTAAGCCACCTGGCAAATTGTTTTGTTATCACAACTGATTTAGAAAGCTCAATAAACCAACTTAGGACTTCTTCCATTGCCAAGGATAAGTGAAGTACTATGAACTTATAATGAATTTTCATCAATCTGCCAAGCAAAAGTTCTGAACTGTCAAAGTCTGGAAACGGCAAAAAGAACAGATTATTAAATGTACATTTAGAAACCGCAGATAAAACAGAGCATGATCACAAAAAGTTTCAACATACATTGTTGCAAAACTCCTGAAAAACGTTTTAAAATATTGCACTGAATTCCATCTCTCAGTAAGATTATTCATTTCCTTTTGTTAAAATTACAAGCTCTGAAAAATTGGCAAATGACACTGTAATTCTTACAGCAAGATAAACAAATCCCATTAAAATATGTGCACCCAATTGGAACGCATAAAAAATTAAATCTGTTGACAATATCAACATGATGATGAGTACTGTATTTTACATCCACTGTGTGACCTTCCCACAATTCTCTAATTGCTTTTGGTGACTGCCAACTTAGTCACTGGGCACACAAATAATTGATTACCACTTTGAACTTAAAACATGTTACCACAAGTTGTTACTAGAAATTTTGAATTACAGTGTGGTACAACAGCTAGGCATTATTCTCAGCTATGAGTAAAATGCTAAGTAATTCTTGGTTCTATTTATATTATAATAAATTATATTTAAAATGTTCAAATGTCATTGTACTGTCAATAGAAAATAGGAACAAACATAAAAGTGAACCTACTGCATCACAGGCTTGTAATTTAAATGAGAAATGGAATAGCTCTTCTATGCTATGAGAAACGGAAGCAGATTTAATACTTTAAAAAACTGATTATATTTTAGGTCTTGTCTTTTTAAAACCAAATATTAGGAAATACCATAATCAGAACAAGGAAATTTTACAACAGTTATTACCCCTTTTGCAGAAGGAAGCACCATAATATTAGTATTAAAATAATGTATCTCATTTTTAAGCACATATGCAATTAATGAATTTAATAGAATTAGTGAATCTACTTAGGGCTTCTTTTTTTTAAAATTTGCAATGTACACCAGGTGCACAAAAATATAAAGGCCTAGAATGTGACTGACTTGATATGAAGTTGCCTTAGTAAGCATAGTTGACAGCCAAATCCACAATTCCAGCTATTTCGTATGTTTCAATGTCCTTGTTTAATTGTAGCTGTCCTTACTTAACAAATGTTTTACTGAAATGATTATCAAGCTTTTTCATTACAGCTCTTCATCTAAAGCCCCAAACCTATACATGTCTGTCAGCTGGAAAACAGTGCCTACATGTATCAACCACATATATGGGCTCCTGTGACTCACTGTGTTTATAAATAGAGAATTCTGACAAGTGCCTACCACTGCCTTTTGAGTAAATAGTCTGACTGGTTTACATGTATAGGTTGCCTTTGGTTAGCATTTTGTTTGAAATCTTCCACATTTAAAGAAATGTGGGCACTGCTGCATTTCTTGAAGTTGTCATTTAGGCCCAGTTTGTCTGCAGTACTCCTCTCTGCAAGTGTTACTGTTGTCAACAGCTTTTATTGTTCCTCAGCTCTGAAGAACGCAGCATTTGGTGCTTCGGTCAGCTCCCAAAGGAGCAGCCTAAAAATATCTCAAGAACAAACAGCATTTGGGAATAAGGCACCCTTGAAGATTCATTTTCAAACGCTGTTTTGAATATCATGATCTCCACATAACTTAGCTATTAATGCTAGTGACAAAATACTGCCATTTATCCAGGGAATTCAAATGCAAAAGCTGAAACAAGGCTTGTTTAGATAGTTTGTGAATCAAACACTTCAAGTTCAATGCTTGTCAAAACAAAAATATTCCATTTTATCTACTTAAACAAAAATTTACTAATAAAAAACCTTTACTTGAGACATACTGAAATGAGCATCAGTTTGACTCAGGATCTCAAAGGAGAGAGTTTTGCATAAACTCTTCCACATAACAAGCTCAGCATTTCTCTTTTTGTTTTGATCTTCTACAGGTATTTAAATCTTTTATTAAGACAACCACAACAGAGAAACAATAACAAAGTAGTTTCTTACATTATTATATTCTCACAACTATGTAACTGGTAGACTTCAAGAAACATGCTACATTTCACTTACAATTTTTAAAGTGATGTTCAACGCTATTATTATTAATTAATCACTTTAAAAAAAAAAAAAAAAACAAAAAAAAAACAAAACAGAGATTTGCAGGACTTTATAGAACCATTTATTTCTTCGATGGTTGAACAGACAAGCATGTAAAAACCCCAAAGAAATGCAAAGATGATGCTGTAAAAACTATTAAATCTTAATTTATCTCTGATTCCCTCATGTCAGACCATTCTGGTTACCTTAAAAGTAAAGTGAACTTGAGAACACTGTTTGCAGAATCCTCTGCTAAGGAAATTGCAGAGAGCAAAGTTACAGTTTTCCCTTTTTCTACCTGCTCAGGCAAGGAATAAATATATACATACCCTCAGTAAGTTAAACAAACTTTCAAAAATGTTCTTGCAATTCCAAACATTTGGAGTAGTTTCACTTTTTGAAAAACGAACACTGGACAGAAGGCAATTTGAGATGCCTTATTTTAAAACAAAGCAATGATAAAAAGCAACATACCTCACTACAAGATGCTACAGCTCTGTGTAAAGGAGTCAACCATTTGCTGTCTTTGGCATTAACTCTAGCTCCTGCAACAAAAAATAAAGTAACAGAAATTTAAAATACATTTATAGGATGACTGAAATATTTTCAAAAACAGAGAAGAACTATTGGAAGTTATTTATCCTAGGCTCACTAATACAGTACGATGCAAACAATGGAAAGGGATCTTTTCTTCAGCTGAAGTCCAGTACTTTGAGGAAAGTTCTTTTAACACTGTAACCATAATACTCTTCCACATCAAAGTATACTCATATTTTTACACTTGGTCATCCTCTATATTCTTTTGCACTTCCAAAGCCACATAAAAAGGTTGTTGTATAAGAAAAACAAATGCCTTGCCTTCATTCTGCAACAAAAACGTCATACTTTCTCAATTGAAACTCTCCACTAAAATAGAAAAAGAAGCTCTCTTTACTCCTTCTCCCTCCAGTTTCCTTGTGGTTGGTGTGTCTGATGCACAGGTATAAATAATGAGAATGATTCTTCTACTGTGAATTTGGGAACAAGTCTTCACCACTCCACCAGGTCACCCAACCCATCCCAGGATGTCCTGGTCCTCCCTTCATGAGGGAGATATGGCCACACCTCTCTACTTCTGAAAGTATTCTAGAGAAAGAGCCATCCTTGTCCCCAGGAAACAAGGCTGCACAGACATCTGTAAGGGACACAAACCTGGCTCGAATTTTAATTTTTTTCTTAATAATAAAAGGAAAGAAGGGTTTGGGAACTTTTTTCCCTGAAGGAAGCAGCTGAACTACATTTTAACTTCCAGTGAGCTCCGCCAAACAAGAAAACTTAATGATTAAAGTTAATAATTTGATTTCTTACTGATACACACACACACATAAATATATAACCTTGTAGGTTATTTATACCTTGAGTGGAAATTTATCCATCCTTATTTCAAACCTTCTGAGATTTTACAGGGGTAGTTTAGGTAAAATGTTGTATTTTTTAAGAAACAGTTTGAAAATACTGTTGGAAAGAATCACACAGTAATATTAATGCTACATGATCAGAGCTGATTGACTTCTCAGGCTAAATATAGCATTGTTATGTCAGAACCAACTGTAGTTTTTCCTGTGCAGGAACAGAAGAGGATGGAAGGTTGGTTAGACACAAAGTGCCAAACAGGCTGCTGGTCAGGATACTCAGCTGAGAGACAGCGTATTTTGCTGTAAGACCTGCACCAGCAAAGAAGCTGAATAACCTGACCAAGAACCCTAGCAGTCTGTACAGAATCATGGCTGCACATACTAACCAAACCAAATATCTCAAGTGAATTCTCTTGAGTTTCTAGTCAATTCATCCCTCTCAGTCTTAAGAACAGAATAAGGAAGTTGATGCAGGATCCAAACTCCCAGTTAGATCCTAAGTCTTCCAAGCACTAGATAAAGCCTGAGGTCAAACTGTTGGCTACAATTTCAGGGATTTCCACCTTTCCTTATCTAAATTTTAGAAGCTTTGGGTGTCATCCCATTTTTCCAAGTGCAAAAGTTTTTTAAAAATAAGACCAGTGAATAGGGAAGAAAGTCCAAGTCCATTTGAAGAAAACTCCCACAAATCTAACAAAAGTTTAAGAGACTTCATCATACCATAAATATCTACTTTTGTCAAACATCCTAAGGATCTAGTGGTGTACTGCATCACATCATGTGCCATAACAATGTACTGCATCAAGTTCTGCCCAGAACTTAAGTTAAAAAAGAATTAAAGGATTCTAAAAGTCACCAGGAATGTCTTACGATTTTGGCAGTAAGTGATGAATGAAATCACACAAATATAATGAAGTAACAATCAGTGAGAATGTAATCAATATATCTTGAAAGCACCTGTAATTCTTGATTGTCTTCCAGGTAACTGTTGGCCTCACCTTGTTTTTAGCAGAAGAGACAAAAATAGGAGCCAAAATGGTACTCCAGGTTCCAGCTGACTTCACGTCTAGCCAACAGCCAAGGAATGAAGACTTTCAAAGTCTGATTTCTATCTCTAATTTTAGGATACAAATGTCTTAAAAGCATTTTAAAAAACTTAAGGGAGTTACTAAGCCATTAATTACCATCCTGATTTTCCTCAGGAAAATTTTGAATTTGCAAGACTTGAGGTCAGGTCAGATACATCCAGGTAATGAAGCCCAAGACAGGAGAAGCACTGTGCCCATCAGAAGGGAAGAAATACACGTTTCCACTCCAAAGAAGTGGCAGATACCTAAGGTCTAGCTCTAAGTGAAAAAGTGCTTAGAGTCCAAGCAGCTTTTATGTGTTCAGATAAGGTGTTTACTGACATTTCTGCTACATTTCAACATACAGTTTAAAAATTGCACCAGAAGAGAGAAGGAATAAATACAAAAAGATACCGTACAAAAGGTTTTCCCAGTGGTAAGTTAATCACACTTGCTAAGACTAAAAGAAATTAATGTATGAAAGGAAATTGGCATTAGCCAAAGAAATGTCTATTTTAAGTGTAAATGTAAATTTTAAGTGATATATCTAAAAGTAACACAGTCCTCTCAAAAGAACAAAACAACAATATCTGCTCCCCATCCCATATGAGGTTTTTCACTCAAAGAAAGCCTAGATCTACCACGTCTCATAATTAAAACAGTGTAATATGTTATACATGTTAAAATAAGCTAACTTTTCAAATACAAAAAAAAATTGTAGGTTCTCTGACAAAGGAAAAAAAAAGTTGATTTTTGACAACAAATCTAAATCTCTGATGGACTTAAGAAAGACCATCAAGCTTGTTGTTTCCTCCACAACAAAAACTATTAAAGAAGTTGCAAAATTGTTGTATTGAAAGACAAAAGTTTTTAAGCAATAATCACGATAAATGTACTAGGAAAAAACAAATATGCACTATTAATGTGGGAATTGGTAGATTACAGCTCTAGATACATTAAATAAAACATTTTTCAATTAACATAGAGATTTCTTTGCCCTCAAATTTCTCTAAGAATCCATGCTGCCAAAAATGATTTAAATTTCATAAAAGAGCTTTTCCAAACAGCCTTGCAACTGAGGACATAATCCCCCTCTAGGCTGTTCTTTACTCCCTAGCACAGGATTTAGGGAAAATGTTACCGTTCCTCCCTCCCCCTTCAGACGCTCTCAAAGGGTCATAAAGCTCCCTCAAACCTCTCAGTCCTACCACACAACAAGGAGGGAGTTTACAGCCTTGATTATCTGGGGTAATGCTCTAATCCAGACCATTGCAAACAAATATCAGAAAAATACGTCACAGCTGTATCGAATAACTTTTGCTTTAAGGTGATTTGTTTCATGGTTCGCTTAAAGACAGTTTGAACACATGTATGTGTATAACTCACTGCACAACACCGCCAGTGCAATATTATCTCCATGAGGCCCAAGCTGCTGACGTGCTAACCAGGGCATTTCTCACATTTCAAATGCCAGTTATGCAGCACTTTGCTCTTTCAAAGCACAGTACAGTGTATCTCAATCCCTAGTGTGCAAAATGGAAAGAACCCCAACTCCAAACAGCCCCCCCCACTCACCACACTGGACCTTCCAGACTCCTGGAGCCTGTCTTAAAACGTTTATTAAAACTTCTTAAATATTCATTTGTTTACTGTAAATTTTTTTGTATTTCACTTCTTTTAATGCCATAATATTTGCAGGAAAAGGATTAGGGGGCTTACAAGAGAGATCAAGCACAATACTGCAACACAAATACTCGAACTTCCCTGAAACTGAACCTTCCAAACAAATCAAATTCTTCTTCCACATTGGTGCACTAAACCAAAATATTCAAGATCGTTCCTTTCATCACCAATTTTGCTAGTACAGCCTAGTAAGTTTACACGTCTAGGCAAATATAAAAGCAGGACTTTTGCTCTGTAAAAGATGGGGGTAGGAGGAATTAGAGAGAGAGAAGTATTACATAATTTTCTTTCTCTCATCCCTGAATTTTACATTTCATCTTGCCAAGTTGCATTCACAAGACTGACAATTAGTAAAGATATATTATATTTAATAAATATCGTACAGAAGGTACTGAAAAACTCAGTGATGTTTACTTTTAGCAAGTTTATGTTTCAAGAGGCCCATTTTCCAACTGAATATATAAGTTGATTTACAGGCTGATCATGGAGGTTTTAATTCTATCAGCCTGTTTCTGACAGTCGCACATTTAAATGTGCTATTAGCCACCAATTCCTGGATGTATGTTTCTGCACTCCAATTGTTACTCCTTGGTGTCCATATCCTTACCAAGAACTAGCAACTCAACCACCCCCTGCAGAGACAGGCAAGGACCGACTGGACAGGAAATGCTGCAAGGAACAACCACACACGTCCTCCTTCACCCATCAAGTGCCATACAACCACACAGCCATGTCTCTCACTTCACCTCTGTGTTTCCCTCTTAAGAACTTTTGCTGTGACTCTCCTCCCAAGCTCCTCTGCACCAGAACTCTTCCCATTTGTAAATGTCCTCAGAAGACTAATGAATGCAGTGGCTGCATTACTCATGTGCCACTAGCTGGAAATAGATCCAGAAAAGAAATACAACAGAACTGACAAGACATTTTCATCTTTGCTCACAGTACTGACTTAAGTACTGAATTGCCTTCCACTGTTCTGTTTGCAGTCTGTATTTTAAGACTTTCAAGAATGGTATTTTCCTTTGTTATTGTACAAGATGTGCTAGGACTGAACAAGATCATAATATAAGCAAAGAAAGCAAAAGTGCTTTCATTCAGTTACGTAATACAGAAACCCAGCATTTGAAGCTCTGAAATGTTTGTTTAGGAGTAAAAGATGCAAATAAGATCTTCAGAGTACGTTTAAGAAAGCAACAAACTTTGTCCTAACAACTAGTATCCTGAAATAACCCTAGGAATTATCTTTGCAGAAATTAGGAAAATCTCAGGAATAAATCACTGAGAGCAACCAGCAGTCCAATTGTAATTAGATGTTATTTAATTGTTTTCCTAACAGCCAGTAATAGTTTCAGAAGTTTTTCCTCTTAAGTGATCCACTATTTTATCTAGAGACAATGACCT